CAATCGCACCTGTAGATGAGCATTCCATAAGAATTGCTCCAGAGAGGATTCAGAATGTCTCTCTGGAAGGTGATGTTTTAACCATTTCTCTCCACAGGGACTATGTTGAATCTGTAGATCAGGTCATGCTCAATTCCTTGCCAGAATTGAAAGGGTTAATAACAACTTATTCTTTCCTATTCAGATAAATGACTTAGGAAGAAGTAGGAATGCAAAGCTGGACTTACAGAGTGAGAACAGCTATATTAGTAGAAGTCTGTTAAAGCAGATCGCTAATCCTAAAATGATCAGGTACATTTCCCCACATGACAGGTGGATCCAGAATCTGGATGGCGAATCAGAGAGTTACAATGTGATAGCAAAATGTTTACTATCTATTTCCATCGGAAATAAGACAGTTAAACATTTATTCCTAGTGATAGACGAACCTCGCTATCAGGTTTACGTTGGCAATGATGTCATACATCGCTTTGCCATACACCTTGACTTGATTAATTCCAACTCGTGGACAAGGTTAAAAGGTAATCCTTGTGGATACCTACACGAGGAAAACGCCCTGAAATCAGGACAAATACTCCCATATGCGGTAAGTATCCAAGTTCCTGATGATGTAACCATTCCACAGGGGACAAGTAATTTTCATTTACCCCTACAGGTAAAGGAGGGTCAGAGATTGGAAAACTCTGATGCCCTAATCTGTTTATCCAACAGGATACAACAATTAGGGATGGTGGTAACACATACACCAATGGTAAGTATTGGTAAGAATCCCACCTATATCATGGTCAACAATGTTACACCCAATAGTGTTACTTTACCAAAAGGAACATTATTAGGTCTAGCATTGGATGCTGAGTACTATACATTTGGTTTTCAAAACCAAATTATAGGCCTCATGCCTGAAGAATACTTAACTGAGGACGAAATTGTCGATCAAATATTCCATTCCTCCCCAGAAGGATTATTCACTATCCTATCTGTATATCCCTTCAACGTTGAAGAAGGCTCGTGTAAAATCGAAGAAGCATCTATCACCTTCGATCATCCGCTCAATGAGCAGGAATCACAAGAGTATCATCGACCAAAGAGAAAAGGTAAGTCAACACCGAACTGACCTAACTTCTAGGCTTGAAGAAGCTTATGAGATAGGCCAGCCTGAAATCTTTCCAGGATTTCAGGAAAGGCTAGAAGAGCAAATATCTTTAGCTGATGGTTGCTCCAACGATGCTGAGCAGCAACAGCTAAAGGAAATCCTAATGGAATTCCAAGATATTTTTGCAAAAGATTCCTACGACTGTGGGTTAACTAACCTCCACGTAGCCAGAATACAAACTGATCCAAATTTACCACCTGTATTTATCAAACAATATAGACTCCCATTAGCGTCATATGATGGTCTACAAGACATCATTCAGAATTTAAAGGAAAGGGGCATTATACGTCCAGTGCACAGTTCGTATAATAATCCGATCTTGGGGATTCTGAAACCTAATGGACAATGGCGTTTATGCGCTGACTTACGACAGCTAAATAAACGCGTCTATATGTCTGGTTGGCCAATGCCATACATAGACCAATGTTTGGTACAAATGCAGGGATCCAAAATATTCACTGCCATTGACTGTGCGCAGGGATATTGGACTGTACCAGTCCATAATGAAGACCAATACAAATTGGCCTTCACATTTGGAAAGCAGCAGTATACCTGGACCCGTATGCCTTTCGGTTATATAAACTCTGGTCATGAATTTGCTGTGTTCATGCATAAAGCTATGCCTGACGCACTCGAGAGAGGAACGTTATCATATGTCGACGATGTCTTGCTGAAAAGCACTTCCTTTGATAAGCATATCTTAGAGATTAGACATGTTCTCACTCAGTTAAGAGAGGCAGGGATTAAACTGTCTTTACAAAAGGCGCAATGGTGTCGCACCCATGTCAATTTCCTCGGACATGAGGTAACTTCTGAAGGATTAAATCCCCAAAGGAAGAAGGTTGAAGCCGTACTAAAGGCTAAAACACCTTCAAACATCAGGGAATTAAGATCGTTCCTTGGTATGACTAACTACTCCCGTAAGTTTATAGATAACTATGCAGAAATAACAAAACCACTCTTACACCTGCTTAAAAAGGAAACTACCTGGAACTGGGGGGAGCCTCAGGACCAAGCGGTAAGTGAACTGAGGAGGAAGATCACTCAGGCACCCTGTTTAGCATACCCAGAGGGGGGTAAACTCTTCTATCTGGAGACAGGATATACCGACTTAAGCATTAGTGCTGTTCTGTATCAGAAGCAGGACAGTTTAAACAAAGTTATTGCATATGCTAGCAAGACTTTGTCACCTGTTGAAGTTAAATTCAACACGTGTGAGAAGGCGTTATTGTCGACTGTCTGGGCACTACAAAATTTTCGTAGCTATATTCAAGGTGAGAAAATAATTGTAGAAACAGCTCACCAACCTCTACAGTATCTGCAGAGTGAAAGAATTAGAGACGGTAATCTCTCTAACAGTCGGATTACTGCATGGACTCTATCCTTACAGGGATGGCCGTTAGAAGTCCGTTATAAACATAATAAGAGAAGCCCAGTTGCCCAAGGTTTAGCAGAATTACATGACTGTACTGCTCCATCTCTGGATGATAACAACACCGGAGATGACTTCCTAGAAGAGCAATTGCTATCCCCTTATAAAGTTTATGACGAGGAATACTGTCGACCACTACCGTGGGTATACATTGATGGTTGTTCATATCACCACGTCGTTGGTGCTGAACGGAAGTTAGTTGCAGGTATTGGAATCGCCTGGATAGGTGATTATCCCAATGTATCTATAGGATACAATATTGGTCCCAAAAGTAGTCAGATAGCCGAACTCTGTGCAGTATATAAGACCATTCAAATGGCAATAGAATATGGTATCAAAGAATTTGTTATTATAACTGATTCCAACTATGTTCGCAACAGTTTCGTCGAATATCTGCCTAGCTGGAAACGTAACCAAATGCTGAAAAGCAATAACAAACCTGTTAAACATGGGAAATTGTTTTGTAAAATCGATGAGTTGGTTAAGGAAAATGGTTTAACCATATATTGGAAGAAAACCAAAGGCCATTCTAAAATAGAAGGTATTGACAAGGATGGTAATGACTTAGCCGATTCACTGGCAAAACAGGCAGCCATCAATGGTGAAACCCTAAACATTGATGATCTTATGGGTTCAATTCATGTTGAAGCCATAACTAGACGACAGGCTAGAGATAATGCCGACTTAAACGTCGTGCAATGGAGTCAAGAAGCTCCCAGTGAGGACCTGATTATTAGTCAAAAGAACGATCCCGTCATAGGCATATTCTATAGACATATAGAAGACCCTACTGCCAATCCCATCACAGATGAGGATTGCAAAGATAATGAAGATTTACGAATCTTGAAGAGATATAAAGTTCAATTTAGTATCATGGAAGGGTTACTGGTCAGAACTTCTAAACATGGTATACAACAATGGGTAGTCCCAACTGTATATAGAGGGTTAATGCTCCAACACGCACATGATGCACCTACATCTGGGCATCGTGGTGATAAGATCACATATGAGATATTGCGTGATTATGCATATTGGCCACACATGTTAAGGGATGTTAAGACATACTGTCAGGGATGCTTGATTTGTCCGCAATATCAACCCCATGGTCCAACCCATCGTGCACCACTTCAGAAGAGGGGGGTGTCATTACCCTGGTCTGATATTCAAATTGACTTTATAGGTCCTGTAACAAGATCTTCAAGAGGTAACAAATACATGTTAACCGTTACATGTATGTACACAAAGTGGATAGAATGTTTGCCTTGTAAAGAGAACACGAGTACCGTGTGCGCCACTTTGTTGATTAACCATGTCTTTTCCAGGTTCGGTCTGCCTCAAAGAATTGAGTCAGACAGAGGTAGTCATTTTACCAGCGAAGTAATGGCTAAGATGTGGAACATTCTAGGTGTTAAACGAAAGCTACATATTGCATACCGCGCTGCGTCTAGCGGGGGGGTAGAGCGATATAACCAGTCTATTGTTAATATTCTGAAGAAATATGTTAAGGAGTCTGGTAAAGACTGGGACATTAAATTGCCCCTAGTTTTAATGGCGATTAGAGCTACACCTAGCACTGCTACCAAATTGTCACCTTTTGAATTGATGACAGGAAGAAAGATGGTTTTACCACAGCATTTACTATATCGTACTTCGGATCATAACTTGATCAATGCTGCCACTACGCATCCGTATATCGAAGATTTGCGCAAGCATTTACAGCATGCGTTTGCTTTTGCCCAAAAGAATCTAGAAAAAGCAGCGATAGGGGTTAAGACCTATTACGATCTAAAAACCACGAAAAAGGAATATGAGATAACAGATCAAATCTATCTGTATAACTTTGCGCGAAATCAAGTCAAGGAAAATAAATTTTTACCTTCTTGGAAAGGGCCATATGTCATTATTGACAAAATTTCCCCAGTAGCGTACAAGATAAAAATTCCTAAGGATGGTGATTTTATTGAAAAGTGGGTTCACATTAACCAGTTGCGTGCTTGTCATCCTAAATCTCAATTAAGGATTATAGGTGCGGATTCGGATGCAGAAGGGTGAACGACTAACCTGGATGAATGCTTGATTCACGTGGTATAGTATGATGTGAAATGTTGTGATGTGCCATGATCTCATGTACGTTCATGTCATTAACCATTTCCTTGCCATCCAATAACTACATTTCTAAGCAGGTGACTAGCTTGTTTAGCTGCTATAGGCGAATTGCTGAAGAGTCAGTAATAAATGTAGTGAGGGATGAAGTTATAAAAATAGAATTAGAGAGAATACATATGTTGATGAATCGTAATAATGTGTTGTCCTAGGCCAAGTGATGTCACACTGTTATAAGTTTGTATGCTTAACAAACCTTGAATCATTAGTAGATAAGTCTGAAACGAGTTCCTGATCCGTGACTGTCGAAAGATGTCCAAGAAGGATGTGGCGTGTTTCTGGATCGTACTGCTCCTGTGCCAAGAGCTACGGACCGACCCGATCGCAGAGATGGGACCATCCTCCGGCATCCTGATACAAGAGACACCAGGGTTCATCTTAACGGAGAAGAGGATCCTGCCCCGACGTGTGTTCGTCAGCTTGGACCCCAAGATTTTCATCGAGAAGGCATACAACATTTCATCGATGCAGCTTCCTGAGTTACAGACTTGGTACCAGATGCACCTCCAAAGAGCACAGGGCCGTGTGCGAAACATCTTGGAGCAAGCCCGGAAACCATTTGTATCCAGTTCTATTCCGATGAGCAACCGACCCAAAAGGTTCCTCACCGCTATAATTGTTGCATTAGTTTGTGCCACTGTCGGTGCAGTTGTCGCAACTGGAATGTCTGCAGCCAACTCTATTACTGTCCAAAAGCTGGATATGGAAATCTATGCGCTAAAGCAACACATTAACGATATTCATCAGGTGATACAACAGCAAAGAACACTTCTCCAAGACGTGTTAACTATTGTGGAAGACACAGTTGTTACAACAAATTTGCATTCGGAGTTAATTGCCAAATCCACTGAGTTGCACCAAAGTCATGACTTATTTAAGCGTGAACTTCTATTTCTGCATGACCCAATATTGTTCCACACACTTGCTTTTCTTGACGAAGTGCAAACTGGAATGATCGAATTGGCAGGGGGACGCATACCTCTGTAGTTTGTATCCAAGGATATTGTTCATGCGATGCTTGCCAATGTGGATGGAGAAACAATTGAGCCTATGCAATTAAATCTGGCCTTTGAGATGGGGAGCGCTATACCTCTCTTGATTGATCCAGAACATATGGAGATTTGCTTTTTATTGGCCATACCATATGTAACTCCCAAAAACATTTTTCAAATGAAAACAATCTATAATGTCGGTACATGGAAGGAAAATATCCACGTAAAAGTCCAAACCTCAGATGTTTTGGCTTTTCAACCGTGGGTACCAGATTGGTTTTCAATACCCATTTTGAATGACTGTGAAAAATTCAAAGACAATAATTTCCAATGTGATGGAAAACCTTTTGTGTACGATTCTACCAATGCTTTGTGTGGGATCGAGTACCTTAAACATGGCTCTGAAACATGTCAAGTAACTATGTCAAAAACCGACAGTAATGCGTTAGTACATGCTATCTTAGTAAAAGATAAATGGTTGGTAAGCACGCGTCATAAAAACATAAGTGTTTTTCGCAGGGACCAGGTGACTAATAAAGTAATTGCCTTACCAGCACCTGTCTCACTGATCAAGGGACGTTACGCTATCCCCAGTGTACACTGACGTCATCGAAAGTGCTATTGAGATGGTGGATCCCTTCCAGAATCTAGATATCCCTCTAGATCCTAATCTAAAGTTCTTGCTGGACCATAAGCCCAACCACACTATCCAAATGTCAATCAGAAAAGATAACATTTCTGTGGATACATTTAAATATTCTGAGCTAGATACTGACCTTATTGCTCGTGTTGACTGGTTCATCCATGTTAAGATTGTTATTGGGTGTGCTATGATAATAATGATATTATGGTTGATTGTACTAAGTGTAAAGTTCAAAACTCTTACAGGTACAAATATATACAAAAATGTTCATTCCACGCACGGGCCTATGTTAGAAATGATGTGATTGCACAATATGTCTGGTAACTTCTATAGTGCTTATTCATAAGCTAAATTAATTTTGGCTACGAAATGCACTAAAGGGGGGTTATGTCAGGGTATTTATATCGGCAGACATCTTGTGCTATGATAGAAATTAAAAGTGTATATTCTGAGTCACTCTGAACAGACCAGACTCCATTTTGTTATTTTCAAGTTAACAAAGAGACACAAGATTTCTATCTGTAAAACTAACCACTTTCCCAGAGCTAAAGGAATGCATAGTATATACAAACCAAGTGATAAGGAGAACGGGGGTTGGATAGACTGTCTAAAATGCTAATGGCATATAATCAATTGTAAACCCAGACAATTGTGACAGAGAAGATTAAATAATAAAATTTTACTGTCTATATATGTAAGGTACCATTGTAAGTTTAAGGTTAAACTTAGTTCATGATCTGCCATTTTAGAAATTATAGCAGGAATTGCGGACACTAAGTCTGGACAAAACTTAAAGAAGCTGTTTGATCTGACAGCAAAAATGTAAGTTATGGCACTATAAAGATAGGCCAAAATTACTTCAAAATAGCCACCAAGAAAAGTTAACTCTTTCCTGGATAGGTATGTTTAGTGGGACAAGACTGCCCTCTGTAGACCAAATAACTAAATTGCGATCTGGAAGATAACCACACCTCTAGTGCTTCTATTGGGTTATCAACTGATGACGTACAGAGAGTCTGGCCCTTTAAAAGTTAGGACAAAGGGAAGACAGGGGGTATGCAAAGGAGATGCAAAGAAAGCAAAGAAGTGAGCAGTGGGGAGCAATGACACTCTAGGACACACAAATTCCTACACACCTCCATGCAGAGAGACATCCAAATAAATTCCTGAGACTGTCTACCAATCGGATGAAATATCTACTCAACTGGTAATTATACTAGTTTCATTTAATTAATTTAAATTAATTAAAATGTACTAATAGCATTATATATGACTGGATAAAGCACGGTCAGATTTCCATATTAAGAAATCTTAGTCAACTAAAGAATATATAGTTATAAACATTCCATTCTGCAGGTGGAATTAAGAATAATTATATATTGATGTGATATTATCACGTATTAGCATACCACTGTTTTTATCCAGGTGTATTGATTTGCTCTAAATTAGGATAAGATATCTTTTTAGGCAAATTAAAATCTGTTTATATAATATGGTAGATTCTCTTATTGGATGGTTCCAGGAAATGACTAATGAACTGGTTTAAATGTTATTTTATTTAAAATTACATAAGAATAGATCTTAATTACCTAGGAGATCTAGCCAGCATTGAAAGGGTTATTCTAACTGTAGCCAGGGTTTTATGGCCCTTCGATGTGAAAAGTTTTCCTTTCAGTCTGTAAAGATACCTCGACAGAAAATGCTGTTTAGCCATTGAAATGTGATTAGCCATTCCTTTGTATTGCATATCATTTTATACTGGATATTCATTGATTATTGTCACGCATGTTACATATTATTATTATTAATTAATTTGTTATTATAAAATAAAAATCTATTTTTATAACAAAATTGTGATATTAGTTATATGAAATACTTCTCACTTACGATAACGATCTTTGGGTCTGAGAATTGAATTAGTGGGCAATTCTCACTGTTACTATTATTATCCCATAAATATCCCCACAGTATCTTCACAGAGAAATAACCTATCAGAGGCTTCTCATTGAATTGGTGCTCATGTGCGCAATACACGCCGTCTGGTTTGTTTAATTTACATCCAGTGTGGTGTTTCCTAGATAATTTATAAAGATTTTTTCATTCAATATGTGCCATACAATTGTAGTTTCACCAATAATTCTGCATTGCCAACTTTATTGGTTTAACTGACAATAGTATTGGCACTCTTTGAATGAACAAAATCATTTCTGTGGGAAAAGATGTTGTATTTGCACTTCGATTACACGTTAGCCTTTAAAGGAATATCTGGCCTTCCTGTTGGGAGTCATGACTGGACAGCGTGCACAAAATATCTGTGTGACAGCTGCAAAAAGATGGGGGAAGAAAATAATAGTAGCCAGAAAACTTGCACCAGGTGGAGGGACCTTGATCTCCTATTGCCCGAGGGCCTTGTGAGTTGTCTGTTCTCATGATTTAATATAGCACAGGTTGCTGTCTATTTACCTTCTTATCATTGTCATTATGTTATTATTTATATAGCGCCGACAAATTCTGCAGCGCTTTACAGTGGGTGGTCGAACAGACATGTAGTTGTAACCAGACAATTTGGACACACAGGAACAGAGGGACTGAGGGACTGAGGGCCCTGCTCAATGAGCTTACATGCTAGAGGGAGTGGGGTAAAGTGACACAAAAGGTAAGGGTAGTTGCAAGAGAGGAATCAGTCGGGAGCTATTAACTCTTATACCTGGAGCAAGTGCTCTGCGAAATGGTACCACTATAAAGTATTTGTTTTGATTGTCATATGAGTGCCTAATGTTTGTTTGTATGTGATTGTGTGTGTATATATTTATTCATGTGAGAGATAAATGCAAAGTAACTTATATAGATTGCAAACAGTTTACTTTTCCCAAATCGATGTCCCTTTAAGAGATATATGTTACAAAAGTATGTATCACATGTGCATGAGAAGTGTTTTATTAGGAAGTAACTTTCAACAGAAGCTTCAGCAGTTGATTTTACGAAGATGAGGTGAATGTTTTTGTCAATCCAAATGCTTGGTTGGTGTAAAAGAGTATGTATGCCGAGGACGTTTGTACAGCTGCTTCTGCAATTTCAGAGCACTTCATATCATCGTAGGCATGCCATTGTTTGGTTGCTGTATTTTTACAGTATGCTGTGTAATGTCCATATTCCACATCTCCATAATGGTTCTGTAATGGATAAGAGAACAGAGATTTTGGCAAGTTTGCTTTATCTAAATGCACACATATACTTTAATAAGAAATAAAATAAGATAGAGGTTTACGGTCTATAAATTACCACAATCGTGTTGTTCAGCACACATGGATTCATTTACTGTTAAAACATCAACATAATCTCTAATCATTATATATATATATATTTTTTTTATATATATACAACTCAAACTAGCTTTAAGATGTTCTCGAGGACTTGAGTTTAATAATGAAAGCTGTGCAATATTAAAATCGGTAATGTCTTGTTGCTAACCATTTCTATAATTCATTAAGCTCTGAACTTTTGAAGCAAACTCTAATTAAAAAATGAAATAACAGTAATTCAGGTAATTTGGAATCAAATCACAGAGGAAAATTACTATTAATCATTTTTTGCATAATGCCACCTCTAAATATCTTCACTTTGAAATGAACTCAATGCCCCCTGACATAGCCCAAAGATGGAGCCAAGTACGTTCTGTACAATTCTGAAAAGAAAAAAGTAGAACAAATAGGATTTAAAAAAAAAAAAAATCATCAGTGCCCATCATAGCCCCTTCAATATTCCCTCACACAATGGGTGTCAGTAGTAGGTTCCATAATTTATATCAATCACTGCAATCGGATATATTTGTTTAGTGTAGGTTCTGCAAAAACAATCATCTATGGTGCTGCATCTGTCCGTCTCCCCTAAATCTGCCTAAATATGTTGTAGTTGTCAAGCTGTACACCCTGTCATAATCACTGTCATCTTAAATTATGTGATGGGCTCTATCGAAACTTTCTAAAGATTGCACATCAACTAAAGCATGTATGGCTGCAGTTCTCGTAACTCGTGAATGAAGCTTCTTAAAGCAGCTGTGTCACCTTCCCCAAACAAAAAATTGGAGTATTTCATTAAGATAACATTTCTAAAGATTAAATCTTTATGCAATACTTTCACTGAATGTGTTGAAATTTCACTGAAATTCTCACTGAGCAAAATATATCATACGACAACATAGGAATCACTTTGACAAGTTTTGTCAAATGTCCCAGTTATCACTAGTGGTGTCTGTGAGGAAAAGTCATTGCCTATGGAGGCTCCCACAATCTTGCTGTCACAAGAGACAGCTTCAGGTAAGTAAAATTGAAAATGTTCCCCCTGTACCATCCCCCAGGTCACTGCACACCAAGCGGCGATGTAACTATTAAAGGTTTTTGCAAAATTGCAAAATCTGCAAGGACGCCCGAATATCACAGAGCCAATGTGTAGGGGACCACAACAAGAGGTCATAGTCTTAGATTAGAGGGGCAAAGTTTTAAAAATAATATCCGGAAGTATTACTTTACTGAGAGGGTAGTGGATGCATGGAATAGCCTTCCAGCTGAAGTGGTAGAGGTTGACACAATGAAGGAGTTTATGCATGCGTGGCATATGCATAAGGCTATCCTAACTATAAGATAAGGCCAAGGACTAATGAAAGTATTTAAAAAATTGGGCAGTCTAGATGGGCCGAATGGTTCTTATCTGCCGTCACATTCTGTTTCTATGACCTGTTATGCCACTTTTCACGAACCTGCAATTATTTCTTCATTAAATTTCAACAACAATTAAAACACACCCAACAATTAAATACACACCCTGCACCCAGTGGCGTACTAAGGGAGGGGCGGTCCGCCCCGGGTGCCAGCCGGATGGGGGGTGCCATGACCAGCCCTGCCGCCCCCCCATGCTGCAGCCGCCCGAGCGCTCTGCAGAGAGCCTCAGGCGGCTGCAGCTTTGCCCGGGCGGTGCGTCCATGAGGGCGGACCGCACCGCCCGGGCGCAGCCTGAGGAGAGGGGCTGACAGGAGGGAAGCGCTCAGCGCTCCCTCCTGTCACTCCCTCTCTGTAGCGTGGCCGAGCCCTGTATAGTCGGCGGGTACAGAGAGCAGCTGTCTCCTGTACCCGGCCGGACTAACAGGAAGTGCACACAGTGTGCACTTCCTGTTAGTCCGGCCGGGTACAGGAAACAAAAGCTCCCTGTACCCGCGGACCATACAGGGCTCGGCCACGCTACAACACAGGTAGGGGGGAGGGGGGTGAGAAAGAGGAGAAAGAGAAAGGGGTAAGAAAGAGAAATGAGGGGGGGTGAGAGAGAAATGAGGGGGTGAGAGAGAAGGAGGGTGTGTATATTTATTATGGGGTGTATTAATTATGGGGGTGTATTAATAATGGGTGGATTAATTATGGGGGTGTATATTAATTATGGGGAAGTATTAATTATGGGGGGTGGTATATTAATTATAGGGGTGGATTAATTATTAGGGGTGGATTAATTATGGGGTGGATTAATTAAGGGGGTGGATTAATTATGGGTGGATTAATTATGGGGTGTAAATGGATTAATTATGGGGGTGGATTAATTAAGGGGGGTGGATTAATTATGGGGGGTGGATTAATTAAGGGGGGAATTAATTATGGGTAGTGGATTAATTAAGGGGGTGGATTAATTATGGGGGTGTATTAATTAAGTGGGGTGTATTAATTATGGGGGCGGATTAATTAGTGTGGATTAATTATGGGGGGTGGATTAATTATGGGGGTGGATTAATTAGTATGTATTAATTAGTATGTATTAATTAAGGGTGTGTGTATCAATTAAGGGGGGTGGATTAAGGGTGTGTGGATGAATTAGTGTGGATTAATTAAGGGGTATGGATTAATTAAGGGGTATGGATTAATTAAGGGGTATGGGTTAATTAAGGAGTGTGGATTAATTAAAGAAAACCTTTAACATTTTTTACAGGTTTTTTTTTTTTTTTTGGGTTGGGGTGGTGCCAAGCACAGGATCCGCCCCGGGTGCCAAATGCTCTAGGTACGCCCCTGCCTGCACCTATAATGGTTACAGGGTGACTTAGGCATAGGCATATTCCAAGGTCTTACATATAGTGTCATGGCATCGCTCTGAAACACTGTACTGAGAGATACTTGTTCCTATGCTAGAAGCTCCCTGACCCCTCTTTCCAGTACACAAAACAAAATAAAAACAAAATCAAATGCACACTTCCTTGAACTCGGCTTGTAGGAACTTTGCCCTCCACCCAGAAGAGAACAGAGTGGTGTCAGACGTCACTCTGCTCAATGGACTGATGTGCTGGTAATAAAATCAGCACATCAATGTCATCAGGGGGGCTGTGCCAGGCATAGGGAAAGTCATCAAGGCTTTCCCAAAAAGAGGCAGGTCAAACAACTGAGATGACGCTCTCGAAGGCAGGCTAATGGTTTCCCTGTTTGGAAAAAGGTTAGTATCTTGAAAACCAGAAGAAATTCAATTTTAAGAAAAATCTTCTATGTTCTTTACACTATAGTTCCCTCTGCCTTGCCCTCTCTCGCGCCCTTCCCAGTAGATAAATGGTTGAAAAAAAATAAACTTTTTAACACTTACCTGATTCTAGCACTGAGGTCCCTCTAAGCTTCCAGCTATGTAATCCGATGGGGAAGGGGGGCTAACGCACATGCGCGGCAAGCGCCACGAGCACAGTAGGCCCTCCCCATAGGAAAGCATTGATTCAATACTTTCCTATGGGGATTTAACGGATAATGGGTGTGAGTACGTCCAGCGTCAGTTAGGTGGCCGATAGTCTGGTAAGATTCTGGGAGCACCTCAAGTGGCTTTCAGGTAGACAGCCACTAGAGTCTGTCTTAGTGCTTCAATGCAATCATTGGAGTTTCTCTAAAAGAGTTCCCACTAAAATTAATTAGGCCTTTCTGGTCTGAGGAACAGTCACTATAGAATGGCTAGGCTAATGTTTAAGCATTATATTTTGAATGTACTACAGAACAAGCACCAGGATTCAGTAGCACTGCCTCTTTGTGGTGTTTTCTATAAGACAGCAAGGAATCTCCTTAGCAAAATCTCCAGCTCTTCCCAATATAGGAAATAGTGTCACAGAACTGGATTATCAGTGAATGAAAATGCTTATAGAAAAACATGGGCTATAACCGCTGAACTGGAAATAAAAAATATTAAATTATCACTGGTTATTTTAGCCTTATTATATATGCTATTTACATTTCAGTTCTCTATATTTCAGAGTTTACTAACCATCCCAAACTAAGACCCGTTTTAATTAAAGGATCACTATAGTGTCAGGAAAACAAGTTTATTTTCCTGACACTATATAACCCTTAGGTCCCCCCCACCCTCAGGTCACCCCTCCCTTGGCGCTGAAGAAGTTAAAACCACTTTAGTTACTTACTTTAATCCAGCGCTGGGCTCCCCCGCCGACGAGTGGAGTGGAATTCGCATTCAAACAGTCCATAGGAAAGCATTTCTCAATGTTTTCCTATTTACGTTCTGCACGCTGAATGCGATTTTCGCATCCAGCAGCGCAGAAGCACCTCTAGCAGCTGTCAGGAAGACAGCCGCTAGAGGCTGGATTAACCTTGCAATGTAAACATAGTTTCTCTGAAACTGCTATGTTTACATATGAAGGGTCAAAACCCGGGGAACCTGGCACCCAGACCACTTCATTGAGCTGAAGTGGTCTGGGTGACTATAGTGTCCCTTTAAAGGATAACTGTTAGCATATTTTTACTTTTTGCGTGTTGAATGTTTTTGGTTTTTTTTATTTAAGGAAATGCAATGATTTAAAAAAAAAAATGAAACTAAAAAAAAATTTTTTTTTTAATTTTACTGACGAGGCATGTTGGGACAAATAGTACTGTAACCTGACCACCTGCCGCTCAGCCTAATTTGCCTGCTACTGGAGGTTCACACAAAGAAATCTGAGAAGAATGCAAGGTAGGTTGAGCATCAGTTGGCCAGATAACTACACCTGACATAACATTCTACTACCCATTTTAACTAAATAGCAATTGCTTGCCCTATAATTACCTTTAAAATAATTTTTAATCCATTGAATGTATTTTTACCCCTAAATTGTTTCATAAAAATGCCAACATTTTAATGATATTTTAAAGATGTGTGTCCTTACCACCACTGCATAAAGGTTATACTGTGGGTGCTTCTCTTCACTTGGTGAAAAAAACGGAGATAAGTCTAGATTCTTAAGAGGGAACGTGATATTTGCTCTTAGTTTCCTTTTTATGTTACGTTGATATTCAAATCTGTAGTGAGAAAAATGGCATATCAGTATTTTGGGAAAGTACACTTATAATTACAATGTATGCACCATAACTACTGTATCTCACTGTAGTGGTTATAGTTGCAGTGAATTCATAAATTAAAGGAACTCTATAGTGTTTGGAATACAAAACTGTATTCCTAACACTATAGTGTCGCTTTGCCCCTGCAGCCCCCACCCCCTCCAGCAAATAAACGCTTATAAATAACCCTATTTTCACTAACCCCACTCCAGCACCGAGGTCTCTCAACGCTGGATTGCTCTCCAGCTCCTCTGATGGCGATGAGGGAGCCTGATTTGCAGTTTCTCGCAAACTGTAATGTTCTACATTGCAGGATCAGGGGTACAAGGACTCTGCACCCAGGCCACTTCAATGAGATGAAGTGATCTGGGTGCCAATAGTGTCACTTTAATGAAGTGAGTAGATATTTAGAATATATCTGGGTGCTGCAGTGGACGTGATCCCCTTTGAATTTGGAAAGGCAGTTGCTACGGTTTCAGACAAAAAGGTTACTATAGAAAGTGGAAGCAGTTTGTTTAAATCAGGAGTCACAAAGTACAGGCCCAAAGCCATTTCTTGCCCCCTAAATAGTTTAATATAGCCTGCGACCACCCATACCAGAATAGAGCGGGAACTTTGAGTCATGGTCATATCTATGTCCAATTTACTAGTGGTTTGGTCAGTAACAGGGTCATGGCCATGCTCTTATTTGCTGTGACTAACGAAGCTATGTGCTTCTGCCAGCCTCATTTAATAAAGTCCTTGCATTCTGTAGTTGAATGCTGGAACCTCAATGATGAGGTTAGGAGATGCACACAATGCAGGGTAGTAGCCTACATTGAGAACTTGGTCACGCTACAGATGTTAATGGGGTGTGTGTATTATGTACATGTTTAGCTATCTGTATGGGAGTAAGGATTTGGGTGTGAATGGGAGTACAGCTCTGTGACACCCATGAGAGATCACAAGTATGCCAGGGGCCCCTAGATAATTTGACTTTAAGACCCCTGATTTAATTAAAAAAATTTGTTATTGGATGAACCATCCATTGTCTTAAAGACAGAGAAGTTGGGGAAAAAGTGTAAGTGGAGTGTCTCAGGGTTTTGGCACTGGTCCATTTCTCTTTAATCATTTTATAAATGATCTTGAAGTGCGAATTGTGATATGCTTATCTATTCAAATAACACAAAGTTATGTAGGGTCATACTTGCTGAATAGCACTGGCGTACATACCGCGGTCGGCAGCCCTGCCACCCGGTATGCACGCTAGTGTGGCCACATTTTGCCAGCCTCTTTGCCTGGGGGGACCAGGAGCTGGCCACCTAAGGGCCCCTGAGGCTGGCAGTGGCATCACTCCTAGGGTGGGCGGGCCCCTGAGTGCTCTCTGCCCAGCTCCCGGCTCCGGCATCAGTAAGCAGCGCGCAAGGGAGCTAAACAGGGGGATCTCAAGTGCTCCCTCGCCGCCTGCAGGACCGCCCAGCAGGCCCACTGGACCCCAGGGAATCCCCTCAGCACTCCCAAAGGTAGGGAGGCTGGGGGATTAAATAAAAAAAAATGTGCGTATGTATATGTGTGTTAGTGTGTGTGTGTCAGTGAGTGTGTTACTGTGTGTGTTAGTTTGTGTGTCTGCTAGTGAGTGTCAGTGTGTGTGTGTTAGTTTGTGTGTGTGTTACTGTGTGTGTCTGTTACTGAGTGTGTTAGTTTGTTTATGTCTGTTAGTGAGTGTGTGTTTGTCAGTGAGAGTGTATGTGTGTCTGTCACTGAGTGTGAGTGTCTGTTAGCTAGTCTGTATGCGTCTATACGTGAGAGTGCGTGTGTGTAGTTAAAACCCCTTCAGCACTTACCTTTTTCCAGCACCGGGCTCCCTTGGCGCTGGGGATCTCTCCGCCCCGATCCGCCTCTCAGCTCCGAATGCGCATGTGTGGTAAGAGCGGCGGGCGCGCATTCAAACTGCCCATAGGAAAGCACCACTCAATGCTTTCCTATGGACGTCCAGTGGAATCGCGGAAGCGCCTCTAGCGGCTGTCAGTGAGACAGCTACAAGAGGCTGGATTAACCCTCAGTGAAACATAGCAGTTTCTCTGAAACCGCTATGTTTTCAGCTGCAGGGTTAGAACTAGAGGGACCTGGCAATCAGACCACTTCATTGAGCTGAAGTGATCTGAGTGCCTATAGTGGTCCTTTAAGTGTATGTGTATCTGCATGCACTGGCGTGCAAACCGCAGTCGCAGGGGTCGCAGCTCTGCGACTAGGTGCCTGCCGCCATATGTAGCGGCCCCAGCCCGCGCAGAGTAAGCGCCGAGGGAGGCCCATGGTTCGTGTGTACGCCACTGCTGAACAGGATATTCTTTATACAGACATATAGATAAATTGGGGGACTGGTGTGTGTGACATAGCTCCTGTACTCCGACCAAGTACCTCCACCTAGTCTACTTCCTAGCTAATTCAAGGAACCTGGAACGTTTTAGCCCCAGTCGCCATAGTTTGACTGAGGTCTCTCTGGAGCTCTTCCACCTGCAGCTTTCTTCTTCCAGGCAGGGATCACCCCCTCTCAGTGCCATCTTAACAACAAAGCAGTGCACTGGAACCCTGCCTACACAACCACTCACAGGAAAAAAATGTTTAATTACCAATAAAATTAAGCTTATGCTTAATGGTACCTCCAACAAATACAATATATTCATACAATACAAACACACAGACTGCTGAATACACACAGACAGACAATGACTGGTGCAGTGTGTGTGTGTGTGTGTGTATCAGGGGTGCAGTGTGTGTGTAAGAGGTGTGCTGTGTGTGTGCGGGGGTCAGTTTATGTATGTAAGGGGTGCTGTGTGTGTGTGTAAGGAGTGCTGTGTGTGTGTGAATGGGGGCACTGTGTATGAGAGGGGTGCATTGGTTGTGAGGGGTGCTGTGTGTGTGAGGGGTGCTGTGTGTGTGAGGGGTGCTGTGTGTATGAGGGGTGCAGTGTATGTGTGTGAGGGGTTCAGTGTGTGTGTGTGTGTGAGGGGTGCAGTGTGTGTGAGGGGTGCAGTGTATGTGTGTGTGTGTGTGTGTGTGTGTGTGTGTGTGTGTGTAGTGAGTGCTGTGTGTGAAGGGGGGTGCATAGGGATTTTTTTTTTAAAGCCTTATGTCCCCCCCACACCCTTCATCTTACCTTTGGTGAAGGATTGGGGACACAGCCAACCCTGGTGGTCCAGTGGTGGTACTATAGACCTTACAGCCTGCAGCTCCTCTGGCTGCAGACTGTCTTCACTCCTCCCTCGAGCAGAATCGTGTCAGAGCTCAGACTAGCATGCTCGTGGGAGGAACTGCCTCCCAGATGCTCCCTCTCATGTAGCCCTAGGTCCTATCTATAAGCAAGTAAGTAGGGCCGGCTCTCCATGGGTTGGCAGGGGAGATCATAAGATCACCCCTGTTGGCCTGGGCACATGGGCATCGCGCTGGGGCCCCCTTGCTTCTGGGGCCCCCGGGCAAGTGCCCAGTGTGCCCATGCGGAAAGACGGCCCTGCCACCTCTGCCTATTCCTTTGCAGCTTTCCGTCTAGACAGGTATCCACCTCTGCCTGCACTGTGATTGCTCCTGACTTTATAAAGGCACTTGCGACTCTCAAGTCTAGTTCTTTCGACTATGTCCCATGCTAAGAGGACCATACAGCCAGCCAACAGGTCTGAAGACTCTGTTACCAGGATCCCTGCCAACTAGTCCTTAGGCATCTGCCGAAAACCATAAAAAAATAAACAACATACATAATGCAAAGGACAAGCAGAATAATAATGCCTGAAATATATAACAATGTAACTTTCCAAACTATGAGAAAACAGAGACATATAGATGCAACTTGTCAGTTTTTTGCACTTTCCTAATTTGCATCTTGTAATTATACAAATCAATGCATTTTCCAGTTTCCACCAACAGAGGGCAATGGAGAGCCTGAAAGAATGCCCTTTTTAAAACGAGAATCTCTCAATCCTGCCAATCCAAACCAGAAGGGAAAGAAGTTTGAATGGTCTCCATGGAACACATAGGAGGGCTGGGGGGAGGGAATGGGACACATGGAGGGGCTGGGGTTGAGGATGGAATAAGATACATGGAAGATCAGGGGGGAGGGAATGAGGCACATGTAGGGGCTGGGGGGAAGGAATGACACAAATGGAAGAGTTGGGGGTAGGGAATGAGACACATGGAAGGGCTGGTGGGGAGGAAATGAGACACGTGGAGGGGCTTGGAGGAGGAAATGAGACACATGGAATTGATGGGGGGCGAATTAGACACATGGGGTGATGAGACACATGGTGGGATGGGAGGGGGGGGGAGGATGAGACACCTGGAGTGGGGGGCCCAGGGCAATTTTCGCACTGGGGCCCTGTAGTTTCTAGTTATGCCTATGCATGGCAGTGATAATATGGGGTGTGTATGTGTAAGCATATTTCTCCTTTTTAATAAACTGCAAAACATTACCAAATGCTTTACTGTGCATTCCTCTGCTCATTTTTGTGAAATGTGCTGACAGACCAGTATAATCCAGATAATGTCTCATCAGTGCATAAAACAAAGCAGGTTTAGCAGACTTAGAATCTACATTTGGTATATGTTTTGTACTAAATCAACCAAAACTTTATTTGCTTGCATTTTGACCTATTGTTTAGCTTCAAATATCAGAATGTACTTATTAAACACAAATTCCTGGTCATTTATAACAATTAAAAGAACACTCTAAGCACCATAACCTTTGCAGTATTTTATAATGGTAATGATGCCAGTAATGCATCAGCCTCAAATGTCAAGCCAGTACCTGGTACGCACTTCGTAACACTTTTCTTCCTGAGCTAGGCTCTGCTTCAGGCTAGCTCATTGGCTGATTGGTATCAGCTGATCACTCTGAGTCATTGAGCTAAGCCCTGCATAACCAGGCATAGCTCAGGCATACAGCTTCTGATTCTGTGAGGCAAGTAGCGCAGCCCAGCAGACCACAGGTAAGAAGTCAAATTATTCTAAAACAGTTTGACGAACAAAAAATGAGGAGACGGAAGCTTAGGGAATACACTCATAAAGGGGTTAACCCATCAAAAACTACCCAAGTAGTAAGAAAAAAAGGGGGAGAAGGAAAAACTGAGTGCCCTAATGAAATAAAATATAACCTTTAATAATTATGTTAAAAAGAGATAAATAAATGTCCATAAATGAGTAAATACTTGAAAATTCAAAATATAAATATACAAGGCTGAATGAATAAGGGCTCTCGGTGATCCATTACAACACCTACTGTGTACTTTGGACCAGCTTATACTACACAACCCTCTGGATCCCGGGTTTTTATCCTGTTATTGCCTGGGTGGGCGGAGGCTGTTCTATTTTCCTCCCTTTATCTGTAATAATAGTTATGGTATCAGACCTAACCTGCCGATTTTACCTTTACTACCAAGCAGCCTTTGCCTTGTTAATAATTTCTCAGCATTAATAACAGACATATATTTGATTAATAGCCGATTTAAGTATTTTGCAACACTCTGTAAATAATTTGTCAGTGTGTATAATAGGCATATATCTGACCAAAAGCAGATATAAGTATTTTTGCAATATCCTATAGCATCTGCTATATCGGCATTTGATTTTATTTAGTGTATCTACTTAAGACTGACATTGTTCTTAGTGCAGGTATATCTGTACCTGCTGCACTGTGTATATGTATTCTTAATGTTTCACTTATTTTAGTGCAACATTATATATGTAGACTATTATAACTCAAAGGTGTATTTTATCTCCTTTAGTTTTAGGTGTTACTTATTAGTAGCATAAGTTTAACCTTTTGAGTGACGATCTGTACTCATCTTTACCAATTGTTTTTAGCCTCATACTAGACAGTGGCTTAGGAAACATATCCTGTTACAGTTGTCCTTATGTTAGTTTTTGCTATTAATGTATCCTTGTCTCTGTACTGATACTTTATTAATATCAGCTAACTCTCAGTGTCATATCCAAAGGATCAGCTTACTATTTAGTGCTTTTACCTAGTAGGCATTCCTATGTTCTATGCTTGTGTATTCATTTAGCGTTGTATATTTATATTTTGAATTTTCAAGTATTTACTCATTTATGGACACTATCTCTTTTAACATAATTATTAAAGGTTATATTTTATTTCATTAAAACAGTTTGACTGCTTACATTGGGGTGGCTCCAGGGCAGTCCTGGAAAGTTGTTGTGCTTATGGTGCTTGGAGTTAAATTAGGATAAGCAATATCCTAACTGCCCCAAACGAAATATCCTAAGTACTATACCTCTTAAAGTGGAATATTATTATCCTTGGAGGTTTAATTATGCAAACTTCTTTTGCGGTATCCTGCTTTCTTTTACAAAAGGAACAGAACATTTTTTCTGTCCATGTTAGGGTAACTTGTTCGAAGTAGCTTTGAAGACATTCCTGTCAAGTGGAAAAACATTTTAGCATTTAATTAAGATGATTTTCTGCTTAATTAAACAAACATTATAGCTTTAGGAATAAGTTTGCATTCATAACGCTTTAGTGTTCCCTATCTTACTTACCTTGCATCCCACAAAGCACTGGTTTTCGTGCTTGGGTTTAGCCTCACTGGCTGAGATAATCAGTCTTGCTCATCTCAGCCAATCTAATGCTTCCCAAAAGAAGATTTATACAATAAGCCCACAGGGACATGCAGTTAACCCCTATACACTTGAGCAAGCAGGTTTTGAAGGAATAGAGTAGCCTTTTAGAAATAACTGTTGTAGTCAAGGCAAATCTGGAAAACCAAGGAAAATCTCCAGTAGAACAGCTTTTGAATTGGTCACCAAAGGACATATATTTAGGGACATGAGTGGTAGGCAGAAAGATTTAAATGTATTGATTTAGAATTCTAACACTTTTATCCCCACAGGTCTTCCAGTTATACAGAAACCCCAGGACACTGCTTAAATATTTTATGCCTCCATCTGGGGAACAGGGATTCCCTCATAATCTCCGATATGACTGTCTAATGTGTGAAAGAATAGGAATGAACCCCTTTTATCATCCCGCTAAATTCATAAATGTAATAGATCATAATATTGAGTGGGAAGAGATCTGTAATTTCAGGACTGGTAGAAGTGATGTAAAACTTGGAAGATGTGAATGAATAGGATACCCTTACCTGTATGGATGGTTGGTTTCCACTGGGAATAGGAAGAGATAAAACGTTGAAAACCTCCTTTTTTTCCCTTGTGCTTCCACACTTCAGGCAAACTATTTCATGTCTGAGTACTCCCTGTAGTAATCGGGTGATGATTGAAGACTCGGATAAGTTACTATCTGTACAGTTACTACTGCTTCCTTGTGCCACTAATGCTTTCCTTCTGCTAGCCTACAAAACGAGAGGAAGTTTGTGTTTGCAATATATAATGCTACAAAGGACAAATCAAGAAGGCTTCAATTACTCCACATAAATCAAGACCAAAATTGAATGCTTTTCATATGATACTTCTGAAAGGAAATCACATTAAAACAGAGCATGATGAACAAGAACAAAGATCTTAAAAGCATATACTGTGCAAGTAAAAAACATAACTTATTCACCCCTTAGGGTATTAAAATCAACAACAGAACCTGCTAACACCACTCTCAGGATAAGAAGTGCATCTTGTGTAAACTGCTTTAGAAAACTGTGTTTTGTCTTATCCAATCTCCGGCTCATTTCCATATAGTAAAATTAATCTAAAAACAACACCAAAAAAAAGATAAATCCCCTTCTGAAAGCCAATTAGCATTTTTAGTTCACTGTTTAGCAATGCACATGCAAAATTTTTTTATAAAGCCTGGCTGGGCAATTGAAAGGAGCCAGCAGCATTTTCAGTAGAAACTACTATATCCTTGCACCATAACCACATCAGCCTGTTTATAATTACCATTTAAAAAACTTTCACCCACCCAAAAAATTAAAAATCATTTGGGTGATTATATATCAGGACTCGATAGTCCTGGATCTTAATATGAAGGGATACTCTAAGCAAAAAAGCAACTTTAGCTTAATGAAGCAAATCAAGCTAGGAGCGAAAGTTTTACAGCACAGTGTGTTTACATTTTTACAGCAGTGTGTTTACTTTTGAAGTTATTATCTATCTTTGAAAATCACAGACATGGAGTTGTGGCGAGGGCAGCATAAACAAAGTGATTTAATTCATAAATGGCAGAGAATTGAGCAGTGGGACTGTAGTCGCATGGTCTACACCACTTGATTAAGCTAAAGTTGTTTCGGTGCTTAGAATGTTCCTTTCAGACCACAATAACCAAACTGGAGAATCATCTGTTTTAGCCTTAAATTTGAAATTCACTGACATTTCTCAATTTAGCAAATAAACTTTATTATGTGAAAATGGGGGCATGGATAAGGACGCATGCTGCAGAAAACAGCAAAATGCTTTTTAACAAAATGAAATAGATTTGGACAATGAAAAAAATACAGTGGATTTATGAGACTGAAACCTTTTAAAGGACCATAAGATGAAAGTGTTGCCTTAAAGATGGGAACAAGCTCTCTTTTAACATGTGAGTAATTATTCTATGAAATATTTACCTTGCCCATTGTTACCAGTTCCTCATGAAGTGAATCAAGTGTGTAAATCAAAAATTCATGAGCGTCTTGCTGATCCCGTCTTCTAAATGGTGGATGGATATATCCAAAGGCAGTCAAAAAGGCTTCTGGTGACACAAACTGTTTTTCCTCAAATCGCATTTTGGCTAGTAGATCAGCAAATGTAACTGTAACTTGTCCTTTGTCCCTGCAAATACATCATGGATATTCAATCATAAACAGAAAAAATCCTTTTACAGTACATGGTATAAACTGATATATAAACTGCTTAGGGAGGAACAATATAAACCCATTAACTACCACGTGACTGTCTATGCCGTCACGCAGTGCAGGGATTTAACACCCCTTGACGGCACAGATCGTCATGTAGTAAAGGTACCAGCGGGGGTCCCCTCTGTCACGTGAGGCCACAGTTAGCTTAGCTTAGCTATATGCAGTGCTCAAAGTAAGTGAGGCCTTTAATTGTATAGGCCTTTAATTGTTTAATTGTTTTAAACACTGTGGCTGATCTCGCTCAGCCGCAGTATTTTTGAGTCTGCCCCCAGCCTGTTTCAAAGGTATCTTTTGGCTCCAGACTGACAAAAGAGCTATATGCAAAGTAAGTGCTGCACCTGGCCTTTTAAATTGATATGAATTGAGTACCACGACGGAGCAATCACGCGCCGCTGTAGTAATTTTAAATATACTGTTGTCCCCCCCACATTGTCAGGGAGATCCCCAGGACCTGTTTTAGTGGCAGGATTACGGGTTGGATTATGAGTAGGGTTAATGGTTGGTTTAAGGGTTGGATTAGAGACAAGATTAGGGTAAAAGGTACATATGTGGGGTATCATTGTAATTGAGAGCAGTAATAGAATACAGATATTACAGGGATATGCGTGGTCTGTGAAATTCCTCATGATAAAACACTCGTGAAAAGAAAACACAAAAAATAAATATTGTGACCTAGGTTTGTGAGTAAATAGTTAAAAAATGCTCTTAGTTACATAGCCTGGGGGATGCAGTTTTAAATCTGTAACCACTTTATAAAAGTTGTAATTTCACCATGCCAAACTTTGCACATTTTTGGAAACCATCCTAGCAGTCACTGGCGTACACACCGTGGTTGCACGGGTCGCGGCTGCGACCGGGCATGGCCGCCCTGCGACCCGGTATGCACGCCAGTGTGGCCACATTTTGCCAGGCTCTTCTCCTGGGGGGCCCAGACTGGCAGTGGCATCACTTTGCGGGCGGCCGGTCCTGTGGGCGCGCGAGGGAGCACTCTCCCTGAGCGCTTTCTGGCCAGCTCCCTCGCGCGCACCGCACTGATGCAGGAGTCGGAATATGACGTCATATTCTGGCTCCAGCATCAGTTAGTGGTGCGCGTGAGGGAGCTGGGCAGAGAGCACTCAGGGGAGAGTGCTCCCTCGCCGCCTGCAGGACCGCCCAGCAGCCCCACTGGACCCCAGGGACAGCAGGAGTCCCCTCAGCACTCCCAAAGGTAGGGAGGCTGGGGGATTAAATAAAAAACAAAATGTGAGTGTGTGTGTTAGTGTGTGTGTTACTGTGTGTGTGTGTCTGTTAATGAGTGTGTTAGTTTGTGTGTGTCGTGAGTGTTATTGTGTGTGTCTGCTAGTGAGTGTCAGTAAGTGTGTTAGTGAGTGTTAGTAACGCGCGCATTCAAACCGCAAATAGGAAAACATTACACAATGCTTTCGTATGGACGTCAAGCGGAATCGCGGAAGCACCTCTAGCGGCTGTCAGTGAGACAGCTACTAGAGGCTGGATTAACCCTCAGTGAAACATAACAGTTTCTCTGAAACTGCTATGTCTTCAGCTGCACAGTTAAAACTAGAGGGACCTGGCACCCAGACCACTTCATTGAGCTGAAGTGATCTGAGTGCCTATAGTGGTCCTTTAAGTGTATCTGTATGCACTGGCGGCACACCGCGGTGGTGCCCGCCGCCATGTGTAGCGTCACCGGCCCCTGCAGAGTAAGCGCCGGGGGGGGTGGAGGGCCGCGCCACGGATCAATTTTTGCATCGGGGCCTCATGGATTGTGTGTATGCCACTGCTAGCAGTATTTGTTTTATTAATTCTAAAAATGTATTGAAATCCTAAACATATCAGGCATTTTAACAATCAGGACTAGTTTGTGAATCTATTTTGAGTTCATTTTCTTTACTTGCACTTGGTGTGTAGAAATTATTAAAGGTAAAACTGAAAAAACTTTTTCCTATTTAATATAGTGTTATCCATACATATAGGGTATCAAAATTATTCTGATTTCAGAATTATCAAGCCCCAATACTGCTGTAAGAAAGTCTGTGCTCCATCAGCTGATTGTCTGCAATAAGCAAAGCCTGATTTTAGAATTATCAAGCCCCAATACTGCTGTAAGAAACTCAGTGCTCCATCAGCTTCACCTGCTCTTGATATTCCAATTATTTCCAATTTACTTTTTCCCAGTTTAGCAATGATCTGTATTCTCCTCCTCTTTATTTCCTCCTCCTCCCTCAGTATAAAAATCTCTCCTTACAACCACTTCACTCACCCCCCCAATTACTTTTACATATGCCACTCTCTGCTACACTCCCCCTTCTCTCAACTCATGTCTTGCACTCATTTTCTACTCTCTCACTCCTACCCTACCCACAATCGATCTCATCCTAGACCCCATGCATACAAAACCCATTCACACCTCCTGTCACTTTCTCTCCCCCTGCTTCTAGCAGCTGGTGATGTCTCTCCCAATCCAGGACCCTTAACCTTCTCTACACACACTAAGAAAACCAGAAACCCCACAAACCTCATCACAATACCCTGCCCTTTACCGTCACTTACCAACATTCAGTGAGCACTCTGGAACACCCGCTCCATCTGCAGTAATTTAAAATCAACATCCATACACTACTTTTTAATCTCAAACTCACTCACACTACTTGCACTTACAGAGACCTGGCTGTCCCCCTCTGATAGCGCTTCTCCTTTATGTTTTGGTGGGCTACAATTCTCTCACACTCCCAGACTCAACTGTAAACGAGGTGGTGTAGGCATCCTTCTCTCCCCTCATTGTACCTTTCAACCAATCATAACTGCCCTTGCCCTATCCTTTTCTTCTTTTGAAGTTCACGCTGTCTGCCTATTTAAACCCAGAATTGGTATCATCTACCTTCACCCGCGGTCATCCTAGGCTATTCATTGAGCACTTTTCTTCCTCCTCCACCTACTAACTTGACCACCTCAGAATTTGCAACTCACTTCACTGACAAGATCTCTACAATCAAGGAAGAGATCTCTCATCTTTCTTCTTTCCCTTACAATACTTCCCCTAACCTCACTCCCTGCTGTTCTATGTCCATTCCCACCCGCTACAGCGGAAGAGGCTTCTGCTCTGCTCCAGTACTCCCGCCCCACCAGCTGCTCCCTAGATCCAATTCCCTCGCATCTCATCCGTACTCGGTCTTCTTCTCTTTCTCTACCTCTCACTAAAATTCTCAATCTCTCTTTCTCCTCTGGCATATTTCCATCGCCCTTCAAACATGCAGCCATGACCCCAATTCTAAAGAAGCCCAACCTTTACCCTAACTCCTCGTCCAACTACCGTCCTATCTCGCTACTGCCTTTTTGCTTCCAAGATCCTTGAACGAGTTGTGTATGCGAGATTGAAAGACTTCCTCGACTCCAACTCTCTACTAGACCCGCTTCAGTCTGGTTTCCGCACTAAGCATTCTGTGGAAATGGTACTGACCAAAGTATCCAATGATCTACTCGCTGCAAAATCTCATGGTCACTATTCTATCCTAATTCTCCTTGACCATTCTGCGGCTTTTGACATTGTTGATCACCAACAGCTTCTTCTCATCCTCCGCCATATCGGTCTACAAGATATTGCTCTCTCCTGGTGCTCCTCCTACCTCTCCCAGCGCTCTTTCAGTGTTTCTTTCTATGGCTCTGCTTCTTCTCCCCAACTCCTCTCTGTTGGTGTCCCCTACTGTTCTCTATCTATACTGCCTTCCTTGGTAAACTAATTAGCTCCTTTGGCTTCCAATATCATTTCTATGCGGATAACACTCAAATCTATCTGTCCTCTCCTGATCTCTCCCCATCCCTCTTGACTAGTGTCTCTGACTATCTCTCTGCTATTTCTAACTGGATGGCTGCCCACTTCCTTAAACTCAACTTGATCAAAACTGAAATTCTGGTCTTTCCTCCCTCAAGTGTTGCTACTACTGTGTCTGCCTCCCTCCAAGTCAACGGTGCTACCATCAGCTCCACCACCCAGGCTCGCTGCCTAGGTGTTCTATTTGACTCTGACCTCTCCTTCAAGCCTCATGTTCAGTCTATCGTCAAATCCTGCCGCTTCCATCTCAAAAACATTGCGCGCATCCGACCCTACTTAACGCTAGATGCTACTAAGGTGCTGGTCCATTCCACTGTTCTTTCTCGCCTTGACTACTGTAATCCACATCTCAGTGGTCTTACGTGCTCCCAACTTGCGCCGTTACAGTCCATAATAAATGCAGCGGCAAGACTCATCTTCCAGTCTGCCCGCACCTCCCACGTTTCACCCTTCTGTCAGTCCCTACATTGGTTTCCTGTAAGATATAGGGCTCAATTTAAAATTCTGGTTCTTGCGTTTAAATCTCTACATAATGCTGCTCCCACCTATCTATCATCCCTAATACACAAGTATGTCCCGTCTAGACCCTTACGCTCTGCTGAAGACTTATGTCTATCTTCTGTACGTACTCCCACCTCTGATGCTCGCCTTCAAGACTTCTCGAGGGCTGCACCATTCCTGTGGAACTCACTTCCCTCCTCCGTTAGATGCTTACCCAGTCTCCACTCCTTCAAAAAATCATTAAAAACCCACTTCTTCATAAAAGCGTATTAATTAAATTCTTAATAGCTCCCGACTGATTCCTCTCTTGCAACTGTCATTAGTCTAATACTATCCTTACCTTTTGTGTCACTTTACCCCACTCCCTCTAGCATGTAAGCTCATTGAGCAGGGCCCTCAACCACTCTGTTCCCATGTGTCCAACTTGTTTGGTTACGACTACATGTTTGTTCGTCCACCCACTGTAAAGCACTGCAGAATTTGTTGGCACTGTATAAATAATAACATAATAATAATAATAAAAAAAAGCCATAATTATTCTCTAAAATATTATATATATATATATTTTTTTTTTTTTTTTAATTTTTTATATTTATGGGGGCACTTCAACAGAAAGGGTAATATTGTGATTGAATGAACACATGGCAAAAGTGCCAGAAAGGCCTTTGTCATAAACACGTTGCATCTCAAAAAAGCCTTGGTCCCTAATGGGTTAATCAACTTTCCAAAATAAGTTTTAAAAAGCAGCTGTAGTACTACGGGTGATAACTCCCAAATATGCACCCCCATAGGCAAATGCAAATAAACAAAAATGTAGCATTTTCTGGGGCGGAGCATGCTACTGCACTGACCGTTCGCACATCATGAGAGCTTTGCAGAGAAAATCTTCATACTAATCTTATTTGCCGACTTATAGTCTGAATTTAAGCTACTGAAGCATCCCGGCGAAGTGAGGAACTCACGTGGTTGATTTATCAGAAACTACGATTGAGATTGGCGACTCATGTCAAAGGCAGACCAGTAGACTTCCAAAGTAAAATTTCTTAATTTAAATAAATTATATATTCTTCAAGTGACGGTATTAAATTTATTCACTTGCTGTTGACCCCTGCGACTGGGTACCCGCCATTATCTTTTGCGGCCCCGGCCGGCGCAGAAAACCGCCGGGGCCGCCGTCCAAAGGGTCCATCAGGTGGCCCATGCTGTCTCCCATCAACCTGAGCCACCACTGGACCCCAGTCACCCTCCTGCACCTAAAAGGTAATAAATATTTGGGTGACTTAAATATTGTATGTGTGTGTGTGTGTTTGCATGTGTCTGCCTGTATGTATGTGTGCCTGTTTGTATGTATGTCTTTATGTCTTTGTATGTATGTGTATTTGTCTGTGTGTCTGTATGTGTGTGCCTGTTTGTATGTATGTCTTTATGTCTTTGTATGTATGTGCGTTTGTCTGTGTGTCTGTATGTGTGTGCTTGTCTGTTTGTATGTATGTGCGTCTTGTGTGTGTATGTATGCCTGTATATGTATGTGTGCCTGTCTATTTGTATCTGTGCCTGTCTATTTGTATCTATGTGTCTTTGCATGTGTGTGTCTGCCAGTCTGTATGTGTGTGACAGTCTGTATGTGCCTGTCTATGTGTGTGTGTCGGTCTGTATGTATGTGTCTGTGTGTATGACTGTCTGTATGTATATATGTGTGCCTGTCTGTTTGTATGTATGTGTGTGTCACTGTGTGTGTGTATGTGTCTATGTGTGTGTTTCTCTATGTATGTGTGTGTGTCTGTTGGGGGGCGGGGGAAGGAAGGGGGGTGCCCATGGATCAATTTTGCACCGGGGCCCCATGGATTGTGTGTACGCCACTGGCGGTAACAGTAGCCATCAAGATATCACCTGCAAAGGTGATCTGGGAACCAATGTTCTTCCATGGAATACTGTGGCTCTATGTATGTGAGGTACAGGTGCGGTACCCGCTGAAGAAACCATTACATTTGCCTTTTGCGACCTCTCTCACATTCCTCAAGATTTATCAACTTTGCTCTGTTTGTGCTAGAGTTTCAAGAGCCGGACACAGTGGCAGATCAAGCTCGGGGGGTGATGGAATCGGCCACCAAATTCTTTCAATTGTAAGGTGCCCTGCGATCTCAGGCCCCTTACATACACAGAGACCCGGGAGGGAGATCAAAGATCTCTCTCCCGGGTCTTTGCAGAGCTATGCAGCAGGAAGGAGGAGGAGGCTCTCAGCATTCACTTTTATGGCTGCTGCAGAGTCCCGGCTTTTAGAGCTTTGACGTGGTTACCATGGCAATGCTCGATTCCACGTGGTGCCGGGACTAGCAAGAAGAGCCTTCATCCGGCAGAGCTGCAAGGTGAAGGCTGAGAGCCACTACAGCGCCACCAGACCACCGGGGAATATGCTGCCCCCCCTCCTCCTTGGATGCAGGTAAGAAACAAGAAGGGAGGAGGGGGGGTAAACACTTAAAAAAACATATTAAAATAAATATAAAATTGAAAAGCTGCTCACCAGAGGCCGCCTAAGGGGCACCACCTCCCTCACTTGCTGTTCTAGTCCAAGCATCCCCCTCCCCCCCCCCGTGACTCCCCTTGGTTAGGGGTTGGAAATGGTTAGTTAGACAGTATGTTTCCTAAATAACACAAATCCTGCCCTGGTAACTAGGAAAGAAGGTTAGGGCTCCCTCTTAAGATCCACACAGATAGAACCCTAGATAGACCATGTCAGACCGGGACAACCCGCAAACCACTGAGATACCAGATGCCAAAGCCACTCACCAAATCGGCCCAACACGTAAGTCACAACTAGTTTTACAACAACACTAGACGCAACACTAAAACTACAAAGCTTAGTTGCTCGTCTGTAATGTCTTGGTGCCAGATACCACAGGGCATGTTGTGTTGTCCATGCCTTGGTGCATCAGAGCTGTTTTGGCAGCACTTAGGGGACCTACATGATAATAGGCAGGTGGTTTAAATGTTGTGGCTGATCAGTTTAGTAAAGTCACAGAATAGAGTAATGAGCTCTGCACATATGGCTTGTACCTTAAAAGATAAAAGATGAATTGTTCTTTCCTATGTCATATAAAAGGTATAATTAGTCAAATAAGGTTATCAGGAGCAAATAGAAAATGAGTAATTACTGATTTTTTTTTTTCCAAAAGATATTAATCTCCGTAACAAAAGTGACAGATTCTATAGTACATACAGGGAAACAAAGACACAATGATATGCTTGATTTTATATCACTTGCATTTATTTCCTAATGTAAATAGCAATACAGTTCAACTTGTTGACAGGACTGTAAAGCAGTTAGATTATCTGATAACAATGCAAATCTGAATAATATTAAAAGAAAATCAGTGTTATTGGGTAATATCGGGTGAAGTAGCTCTCAACTGTGTACAATTTAGATGTAAATATGTTTATGTATATACATATTTGAATTGCACTGTTTATGATTTGCATATAACTTGCTCTATTGGTGTAAGTGTTCTTGTAAGGTGTTTTATAACACTTTATTTTTTTTTTTTAATGAACATATATTATTTTGTGCCAATGTTTTTATGCTACATTTGTATTTATTTTGCAAATAAGGGAAAGTAAGGAAGTATATGTGCACAATTTCACAGAATTCAAAACACGGAGTACAACTAGACGCATCAAGTATTGCAAGTAAAAATGTTTACGCATAGATGTTCAATCTATATAGTGGAATATATAGTTGTTAGGGGATATCCAATGTAATGCCTTAAGTGTCAAATGTCACCTGCAAAGCAACTTGTAATTCTCTAATTGCATGTATTAATCATTAGAGATTATTATGGTTTACATTTTTCCTTCATCTAAAATAGGGTGGAATGAATGGATTTACCTGTTTTCAGAAGTCTCGAAATTACAGGACAGAACATATTCCACGAGTGGTGCTGTGTTGCTAAGACACTGTATGACAGCATTCATATAACAGGTGTTGCCTAAATTAAGTAGACCGGTGGTCCCATGGTCTTTACTTTGCTCGTTCCTGCCATTTGGCCTGGTTGACTTGCTAGAGCTGCCAGAGGATTCACTATTATAGGAAGAGAGTAAAAAAATTAAAAATAAAAATGTGCACACAAAAAACATTTCAAATAATATAAATGATGAAGGGGAAAAACAGGTCCATGTCTCTTCTTGTGTGATCTAATGAATAAATGATCTAATTTTTCACTTGATCAAGACACTGTTACAATGTATGCAGCAAGCGTGTGTAGGAAACTCTGTAAATAGCTGAATTAGGACCACATGGTAAAGTCTTCATCAGATAGGCACTGGCAGAAATGTTTTCAAACCCACTACTGCAATGAATGGCATTGCACCATGCTTTAACAACTGTAATGGATAGGGCCCCTAACCTCAGACCAACACCAGGATATGCATGTCCTATCCCAAAACTGATATGGTTAGATAGGCATTGGCACTATATCAGGAAGGGGAAGGAAAATGAGGCTGAATTAAAGCAGAACCATCACTACTGATATTTCTGCAAAACCCAATAGCTCACTAAATGTTACCTATGCTTTGCCCTTTATTTTACAAAAAATCTGAGTACTTTCATTTTTGTATTTCAACGCCCCCTCCATGTGTGCATACAGCACTGATGAAAGAGTTCCTGAATCTGCATGCGCTCGTACAGCATTTCTGTGAAAATGTAAATATAAATCTATAAATGCTCCCATGGCATTATGGGGCAGTGATGTTGTACAGCCCCCCCCCCCCCTCTCTCTCTCTCTCTCTCTCTCTATATATATATCGAATATCACTCTCTTCTATCTATAGTCATACAGGATGGCCCAAAAGTAGGTATACAGTATGGTTTATTTGCATTTTAGTACCTCGTTTATTACATTTATATTTGTTTAATATCGTAAGTGTTTGAAATGTTCGTAGCATTCCTCGAGCCTGTCTCATGCATGTTGCACACCTGCTCGGCATTTTCAGTCTTCCAGTACTGTTCTAGAATCCACATTCTTTGTTCTTTATTTCCAATGTCACACTGATATTGAAATGCCTGAAATTTAACTGCCACTTTGTTGTGTGTCAGTGTGTATGTGTACCCATAGGTTCTATTGTGATGAATGTCATTGATTCAACTAAATACCTACTGTTGGGCCGCCCTGTATCAAAGATCTCCCTACATGCGCCATTGCATGTTGTAACGGAGGGAGTCTGGGAGGCTGTCTAACTGCTCCTCTGCCGGTTCCTCTTTCCTCAGCTGTCATGGGATTGCTGTGGTAACCATGGCAATGCTCCGACACTGCACTATACCGGGCTCGCGAGAACAAAATGGGCAATCAGCAGGAGCAGACAGGCAGCCTCCAAGTACCACCAGGGAATGCAGTGTCCCTCCTCCCTGTCCAGAAAAAAGAGCAGAAAGGGGGAACACATAACAAATAAAAAAAATAATAAACTGTTCCTCTCACCCTCACCCCCCAAAACACAACTTCTATCTTAGGCCACACACACACTGCATCCACTGTACACCTAGTCCATATTCTACACACACACACACACACACACACACACAGACTGCATCCACTTTACAAGCACGTATTGCATCCACTTTACAAGCATGTATTGCATCCACTGTACACACACACACATTGCATCCACTGTACATACACTGCATCCCTTACACACACTGTATCCACTATATCTACATACTGCATCCCTTACTCACTCTACATTAACTATATACACACACTGCATCCACTATACCCACATGTTGTATCCACTAAATACACACTATACTCCTTGCAGACACATCATATTCATTATACAAACACACACACTACATCCACTGCACACATTGCATCCACTATGGACACACACTTCCTTCCTCACATACACAAACTACATCCCCTACACACATTGAATTCCCTATACACATACACCACATTCCCTAAACACAGAAATTACATCTCCATACAAACACACACTACATTATCTACCGCAGAACTAAGTGCTTGTGAGATATTGGTGGAATGGGTGGCATGCCCTTTAGGTGGACCCGGGGTCAGCAATGTGGGCAAACTTGAGGGGGAGGGGACACCAGGGGCCCAAGCAAGGGACCACAAAATGTCTGATGTTAGCTCTGGTGGAGGGCCAATGACTTGATGAGTTTAGCTGAATCTGGAGTAGAAGGTTAGTGTTGGGTTTCTGTCAAGTTGAGCTAGAACGCCGGGTTCCTAAGAAGGAAACGCGTTGAGACAACAGCAAGTTTGAATTAAAGCACATTATGTGCAATTGATTTTAATTCACACTTACCTGTGGTTCCAAACTCCGATTTCTCATTACTTTGGTAGGGCTGGGGTTAGCTAGTAAGCGAGACTGCCTTGAAGCAGTTGGGGGGAGGCATTTAGATTTAACATAGGGGTGCTCCTCATCTTTGTTAGCCATTGAAATTATCCAGACTTTTAATTGTTTTATTCACTGCTATAGAAACCAGGTCTCTATGTTAATCACTGGCTCCTGTGTGTACCGGTTAGGTGGCTCTAAGGGATACGTGCTCCCAATAAGCTTTAGATGCCACATTTGGAGCTTTGATTTACACATTATCTATTCAAATGTGTTTCTAAGTATTTACCCTTCTTTTCACAATAAGGTGGGTGATATTGGTAACACGCACTATATGACCTAACTCTCTCTAATGAGGTTTAACATCTCTAACTTTCAAATTTGTTGTACCTCTATATAGTACAATTATCTCCTCTATTCCCACTCTCTTTAGCCCTTCAAAATTATTTAAAAATTATTCCGACTATCTAATTTCTACCTAATTGGATTTGAGAGCCGCCTCTCCCTGAATAATAGGATTTGTTTCTATATAAGATATGTTATTTACTTCAGCAACATTGTATCACTTGTACTGAATTGGTATGCTAAACTGTTACCGGGTTTCCCTGAAAATGAGACAACATCTTATATTAATTAATGTGTGCTAGAATGTAGGTCTATGTTCGGGGAACTAATAGACTAATTTACTAGGTCACGGAATCCTGCAAATCTATGTTTGGGGAAACTTTCCCAAACATAGATTAGTTCACTCGCGAATGGAATCTTGCGTATTTATGTTCAGGGAAACTTCCCAGAACATAGATGAGCTTACTAGCAAATGGAAATCCGCGAATCTATGTTCTGGGAAAATTCTCCGAACATAGATTAGTGAACGCCTAGGGCTTATTTTCTGGGTAGCGCTTATATTAGGAGCATCCCCTGAAAATAAGCTAGGGCTAATTTTTGGGGTATGTCTTATTTTCGGGGAAACACGGTATATTACAAATTTGCATCTGAAGTAAACACCAAGAAATCGAAAGAAACACCCTACAGTGAGGGAAAGAAAGTATTTGATCCCCTGCTGATTTTGAATGTTTGCCCACTGACAACGAAATGATCAGTCTATAATTTTAATGGTTAGGTGTAATTTAACAGTGAGAGGCAGAATAAGAAAAAAAAAATATCCAGAAAAATGCATGTCAAAAAAGTTATAAATTGATTTGCATTTCACATTCCACTTTCCCCCCCCCCAATTTTCTTCCTAAGAATGATAATGGATTCCCTGGGCAGATGACGTCCTAATTATCTAGAGCAGGGATAGGCAGTCTTTGACACTCCTGACGTTGTGGACCACTACATCTCCCATCATGCTCTTACAGCCATAATTCTGACAAAGCATCAGGGGAGATGTTGTCCAAAATATTTTAAGTGCCAAAGGTTGCCTACCCCTGCTCTAGAGTTTGGAGATTGACCAAGAGTCAATATGTGTAAAGGGACTCACATCATCTCGGTTAGCCTGTTTATTTTTAAACATGTTTCAAGATATTGCCTTAAAATATAATTCTTTGGGGCGGGGCTTGACCTCAAAGCTGTGAAGACGTGCATCACAACAGCTCCGGCTGAATGGGGCACTTAAGGCTAAATTTCACTGCCACATCGGCATTTAATCGAGGATACAAGGCTGTCAATTGAGAGAGGGCATCGAGACGAACAGACCGACACCTCACAAGCAATAGATCAAGCCCAAATCATGAAGTGGCCTACAAGCATGGTGGATGCCGGGGAGACGGCCGCTCCCCAGAGGCGACACCAGGCCGGGTGCACCAGGCCGGGTGCCCGGAGGTGAGCTCTAGGCCGGACCAGTGGGGGTCATCCCGGTCCGTTCCTACATAACCCCCTGGCGAAGCAACGAGCCAGCACAGGCTCCAAGGAGCCCTGAGCCCAGGGTCCCTACCGTCTCTAAAATGGTGGAGACCCGCCGCACCGCCGACCCTTCCAACGCATGGTGGGAAACTGAAATATGTCTAAGCATTATATTCGCCGCATTTTGGGAGAAGCTTGAGGCCCATATGACACCCTCGGTAACTGACAAACTGCCGCACTCATTTCCACAGGGTACACCAAGAGAGATCAGGAAGAGCAATGCAGCAACCCAACATCAACACATAGTCACGAGGGGCAAGCGGAGGTCCCTCTCAGGGCCAGTCCCAAGAAATCAGTAATTGGCAAGAAGACCTAGCGCCCGGGGGTAAGAAGAAGAAGCAGAGCCGGTCATCTGCAAAAGCTCCATCAATGCTGTGGAACAAGCGATGTACCTCCTCATTGCGAAAGGTGGCATTGCGGGATATCCCTACCCGGCACAAAGCAGGACCAAAACACAAGCCTGAGACGCTGTGGGAAACAACGAAGAAGACGGAAGACCCGAACTACATACCGGCATCCCGGCACAGAGCCCTCCGATCGGCACCACGGAAGCCACTCAGAGGATTACAAACAAGGTCACAACCGCAGCTGGAAAAAGGGGAAAGGGACCCCCCCAAAAGCAATCAAGGAACCAACCTACCTGCCTGCACCTAGGAGCTTTGCCATGCAGTGTGACTGCTCGAAGTGGGACTGCGCTGTACCCCTGGCTGGCATAGGCTGACCGGGGCTCCAGGACTGAGCTGTGAGTAGGGCTTTTGGTCAGCCGCTATCACAACTAGCATACAGGGGCTGAGGCCTATCACCTGTATATATTGTCGGACACTCTAATATCTAATAGGCATATCTACTACACACACATCTTACTGTATATACTGGTTATGCATTTATCCTTATGCCAAACAACCTACTACTGTCGAAAGCAGACGAATAGAAACACACCAGCATAGACTCACATTAAGACACACAATGATTATTACATGCTAGGTTACAAACATCTGACAAACTTAGGAGAGATGCCTATATGCCTCCACTAAATACAACTAATACAAAGCGTAACCACACTAGCCTGATTACCTACCTAACATTGAATACCTGCATTGCACAAGTTGATACTAAACTACCACACGCACTAACCAAGCCTGCGTACAAAGCAACTTACACTAAAGTCGCTGTTCTAACATTAGCAATTTTATGTTCTATTAGGACAATACCTAAGCAACGTAAATCCATACTGTTATTAGCCTAAAAAAAAGTGCTTGTTCTATCATGTACCTCTATGTTTAACTGTTTTAATGCGCTGGAGGACTGCCTTTGGGGTACCTCACATGCGAATGTTATAAACTTATGCATGACAAAAATAAAGAATTTAAAAATAAATAAATATATAATTCTTTGTCAAAAATAAGGCTTTAAATAATACTTATCATTAAAACAATGATCACTTACATGCTCACGCTGTGTTTTAACAAGTCTTCATATGCATCCATACATTAACTGAATGACCAGAAAGCCTTTTTAAATGGGTTACATTTTATATCACCTGCTATTTATTACAGGTAATTTGCCATCTTTGCTATTAGTGCTATGAACCATTTAAAGCTCTCTCTCTGTGTTCTCTAAACATCACAATCACCATGACATCACAGTTCTATGTTACTAGGTCTACCATCACAGTTAACAGAGCAGAATTAACACACCAGTCACTTTTCACATAAGACATAGATATAGTCTGTTATGAGCACACTTTGTTCTCATTATTTCTCCATTTATGAGTTTTGTACCTGGCCCTAGGCATGTGTAGTTAAAATATTAAAATGAATTCCCCATAATCCATGTATGCTATATAATTATTGTGCCAGATATATTCATATTATATTATAGTATAATACTATGGTAATGATAGAAGTTTTATAGATAATTAGAAAAATAAAATATCCCCCTTCCATAATATTGTAATGGAATAAGTTGGCGCTATATAAATACTAATAATAATAGTAATAATTCCCTTGTATTTCTCTCTTATCTAAAATCAGTAAATGAAAAAAATAATTTTAGGTGCTGCACTGTACAGAGAAAATGCATTGTTTCTGATTATATTTCTGAGCTAGGAAATCCTAGTTAAATTTATCTCATCATATTTGAGTCCAGACTTAAAGGACCACTATAGGCACCCAGACCACCTCAGGTCAATGAAGTGGTCTGAGTGCCAGGTCCTCCTAGTTTTAACCCTGCAGCTGAAAACATAGCAGGTTTACACTGCAGGGTTAATCCAGCCTCTAGTGGCTGTCTCCCTGACAACCACTAGAGGCCGCTTCCACGATTTACACGGAGTAAATCGCGCTTATTTAACACTGGACGTCCTCACAGAGTCCAGCGTCAAATAAGATCCCCATAGTAAAGCATTGAGTAATGCTTTCCTATGGATTGGATTGAATGCGCGCGCCTCTGGCCGCTCATGGGCATTCGGCTTCAGTCGGCAGGGGGAGGAGAGGTCACCAGTGCCAAGGGAGCACGGCGCTGGATTAAGGTAAGTGGCTGAAGGAGTTTTAACCCATTCAGCGTCGAGGGAGGGGGGCACTCCAAGAGCCTATAATGCCAGGAAAACAGGTTTGTTTTCCTGGCACTTTATGATCCCTTTAAATATAAATGACAGTCTCGGATACAGGTAAAATCTATTACATAAATTGTGATATGGAATCATACATTAGTTCATTTCATAATATTTACAAACAGTACAGTGTATGGGAGTGTTTGAAATGCTTCAGTGATACACTGCTTCACTCTCCAGCCCTCAAGAACAAGCAACGTTCCAGGTTGTAGGACTTGCCCAGTTCTCATCCTTTCAGAATACTGAACAAAATATTCAACCTCTAGTGATTCTCAAAGAGTGGTTCGACAACCACTGGGTATAATTTAATATCTTTATGCACCATTCACTTTGCTGGTCCATGCCACTATCTTCTCTCACTACGACTACTGTAATCCGCTTCTCAGTGGTTCCCAGTTTTCCTTTTACAGTCTATAATGAATGTAGCATCAAGGCTCATCTTCCGGGTCGCCCGCACCTCCCATGCCTCCAGCCTCTGTCAGTCCTTACACTGGCTTCCTGTAAGACTCCCTCAATGCAGTATGTGTGTGTGTATTCAGCAGTCTGTGTGTGTGTGTGTGTATTCAGCAGTCTGTGTGTGTGTGTGTGTACAGCAGTCTGTGTGTATTCAGCAGTGTATGTGTATTCAGCGGACTCTGTGTGTGTACTCAGCAGTCTGTGTGTGTGTATTCAGCAGTCTGTCTGTATGTGTATTCAGCAGTCTGTCTGTACGTGTATTCAGCAGTCTGTCTGTACGTGTATTCAGCAGTCTGTGTGTGTGTATGTATTGCATTTATTGGAGATACTAATAAATATAAACTTAAATTGATCTATTTATATCCTTATTTAAAATGTGTATCATTGAACTCTCTGCTGTGTTCGTCTTTTAAAACAAAAGTTGTTAATTAGTTCAGACAGCTTAGTACAAGTTGTTTTTTTCTAAATTTAAACATCAGTATTCAGGTTTAATTGCTGTGTTGGCACTTTGAGGAAACAAAAGTTGGCATGTATTGCAGTTTGGGCACTCGGACTCAAAAAGGTTCGCCATCACTGCCCTAGGACATGAAGAGTCATCAAGTAATATGTGAGTAATCTAACCACATCTAGAAGAAGGACAAACATTGTGTAGGCTTAAGACAAAATGAAATCATAACAATGTTCTTAGTTATAGAGGGATTGATGGTTCCTTTCAGCCGAAAAGAATGGAATGCATAGAAGACATTATACATTGTTGATAATTTCAGAAAAATGTGACAGGCAGCTAAGAGGTAATGCATGACAAGGAAACAAACAAAAGGATAAAAATAAGTAGGACAAGACAGACTATGGCGCAGAATACCTCTCATATGGATATGTGGTGTAAAACCCAGAAAACTGGATAACTCCCTACACCACTTGAGTATACAACTTATTGGTCTTCAGTGACATCATCCATAAAATTGCGCTTTTAGTAGGGGTCAGCAAAAATATCATATTATTCATGATTACAAATAATATTGATAAATCAATTTTTAAAGGTGGAGGGAACACATATACTATCTTTATTTGTAATCCAGCACATATCAGTATATAAAAACTATTAAAAAAAAAACAAGATTAGTACAAATTTCAAATGCTAGATATATAAATATGCCAAAACAGATGCAAAATAGCTAGTTTAGCCAATCAAATAAGATATGGGTGTGTATAAGTAAAAAAGCTTATAGAAAAATTGTGCAAAACAAATGTGCAATAAATAAATAAATAGGGCAATTATCTTACTCCATATTATATGTGGATAAATACAAATTGGAAGCGAAGATATAACACGAAAAGGGGGGGGGAAACACACGTATACAGTGCAGAAAGTACTGTAAAGTGACAAATGCTGGATGGTGACAATGTATATGGCTCAATATACATGATGGTGGGGCGGAGCCTGGGACTGAACCCGACCAGACGCCATCTCAGTCGGCTCCTGCCTGTAGCAAGCGTTAACCGCAAAAAATTTGAAACCAAATCGCTACCCGACCACAACCACTTACTGACTCAGGGCACCGAGGGAAACAGGCAGATGCCCTTCTTCCAGTCCCCAAAGACCGGGAAGGCTAAGCGCAAAATCAAGGCCTACTACCAGCCGACCCTCCGCTCCCTGGAGACATTCCTCGGAGGCTACCGGGGATATAACGAAACGAGAGCCGAGGGGACGAGCACCGCAGCATCCGCGGAAACCCCTACGACAATGAAACGCCACACACAAAAAGGCCAGCAGAACTTACCAGCAGAACAACCCGATATCGGGGAAATGCTGCACAGCCAGCCCAAGCTCCAGCAACACAAACAGATGGGTCACTAAGTAATACGCTCCCATCCCTCAAAGAAATAGAGGAACATAACTTAGCCACCAAACAAGACCTCCAACACTGGATGCACGAGCTCCAAGACCTAATAGCCAAAGATATAGGCACCATAAAAGAGGAGGTGCGCCAAAATACAGACAGAGTAAATGCAGTGGAGGAGAATGTAGCGACAATAAACAACGAAATAACTCATCTTAAAGAAACGTTGTACACATTGCAAACAGCTCACCAGGTGCTAGCGGTGCAGGTCTCCACCCAAGGGGACCGCCTGCGCCGCAACCACATCAAGCTCAGAGGGGTACCCTCGTCGATCACACAGGCCGAAAGGCCTCATTTCCTCAGGAGGCTCCTGGCCACAATCCTGTCACCCACAGCCGCCCAGAAAATCACACTGGAGAGCTCATACCGACTGCCAGCAGGGCCCAACTCACCACCCACAGAAGCACGAGACATCATCCTATGCTGCGCCACAACACAGGATAGAATCACTATAATGACAGCGGTGAAAGTCAAGACACCCCTGGCGTTCGAGAATGCACAACTGCTCTTTTTCCAAGACCTGACAAGGGCAACACTGCAATGGCGGAAAACAATGTACAACCTCACCAGCCGCCTGAGAAAAGCGGGAATACAATACCGCTGGGGGGCACCCAGGGTCATAACGCTCACCCACAATGGCAACACATATAGAGCCACGTCAGAGACTGAAATCCCTGCAATTCTAACCTCACTGGGACTCACGGACTTACACAAGAACGCCACGAATAACTCGTCTCAGATGGGAGATCCTGCCACGACAAACTCATTCACACCTTGATCCCAGGGATGCACAAACACAACTCCTTGACGGGGACTGTACAACTCAGCTGGCCACAGCAGACACAGCTCCATTCGATGGAAATAGCTGGAGTGCGCTGATATGTTCTCTATGTTAGATGCTACATATGTTTCTTCAATGGTGTTTTACATTCCTTTATTTGTTTATGTCGATACATGCTCTCATGCTTTTAAAGCATGGTCGGGTTCACCAGCCAACACATGGCCTATTCCACGATAATCCCCCACCCCGCTGCCCCCTGGGTTAGGGGCACCCACTATCACGCAACAGAAGCCCAGAATACCACGATAATTTTTACACAGCGCAGCGACCCTTAGCTCTCTAAAGGCGTGTAGAGGCAAAAGCCGCCTCCCTCGCAACACACACCACAACAGACAAGCGCAACCACGCAACACCCTGAGATGCACAAAACAGCCAAGGGGTAACACAACAGCGCTAGCAACAACTAGGGCCAACAGAAGGGTAGCGCACGCTGAAACCCGTACCAATACTGTAACGCAACTTGTTAAATTACTAAAAATGTGTGCAAACCCAAGTGACATGTTAAGTAACCAGTCCTGTACTATATACTAAAAATCACTTCTGTCATAGTCATTGAAATGTTGACATGCACCTTTAAAATAAAGAATGTAAAAGAAAAAAAATATATATATATATATATATACATGATGCTGTGGTCTTAAGGCAGCACCCTACCTTGCTTCAAGGGTAATCCATTCTCAAAATAAACAGAAAGGCAATAATAGTGTAGTATAACCAAACTGGATGCCCACAAAAAGGTGATACAATTAAACTCACCTTACTCAGAGCTCTGGCTTCCTGGCTCTGAGGTTGAATAGCATGATCAGAAAAACTGGAGCTAAGAGATGGGACTACTAAATGCTAAAGCATATATTTATTTAAGCAATAATAAAATAAAATCATAAAAACAAATGCAAATAATAGCAGTGCACTTATCAAATGATGTAGTCCTGCCAAGACACGCTTCACTCTTCAGCCTTATCAATTGGCAATCAGTTTAGCCAATCAGTTTCCAAATAGTGTCTAGTAGCATATAAGTGTGTCGTTACATATAAGTAAAAAAAATTATTACATACCACTTCCACAAAGTACAAATGAATAGAGGGGAGAGAACACCAATACCAAAGCAATAAAAGAACAAAACAACAACATTTCAGCCTTGACAAAGGCCTTTTGCCAAAATGTTGGTTTTGTTTTGTTTGATTTTTATTGATAAGGCAGACAATGTAATAGAGCAGCAGGAAATGCTAGCAGAATGCTTGGTTGTATAGGGAGAGGTATTAGCAGTAGAAAGAGGGAAGTGCTCATGCCATTGTACAGAACACTGGTGAGACCTCACTTGGAGTATTGTAAGCAGTACTGGAGACCGTATCTTCAGTAGGATATTGATACCTTAGAGAGGGTTCAGAGAAGGACTACTAAACTAGTTCATGGATTGCGGGATATAACTTACCAGGAAAGGTTAAAGGATCTTAACATGTATAGCTTGGAGGAAAGACGAGACGTGGGGGGGGAGGGGGGGGTATGATAGAAACATTTAAATACATAAAGGGAATCAACACAGTAAAGGAGGAGACTATATTTAAAAGAAGAAAAACTACCACAACACGAGGACATAGTCTTAAATTAGAGTGTCAAAATATTAAAAATAACACCAGGAACTATTACTTTACTGAGAGGGTAGTGGATGCATGGCCTTCCAGCTGAAGTGGTAGAGGTTAACACAGTGAAGGAGTTTAAGCATGTGTGGGATAGGCATAAGGCTATTCTAAATATAGGATAAGGCCAGGCACTAATGAAAGTATTTAGAAAATGTGGCCAGCTAGATGGGCCGAATAGTTCTTATTTGCCGTCACATTCTATGTTTTTATGTATGAAGTTGCGCTAAATATTTGCAAATATAGATGCAAAATTTCACTTTTATAAATCTCTCCTAAAGTATGCCTGACATTTTTTTAAAATATTGAAATATTGGCAGCTATGCTGTGAAGGAATACCCCATTACTTTCAGTTCCTTTCGTACATACAGATTCGTATTTAATTTTACTTTGTTTGTTTTGTTCGGTTCCTGAACAAAGACCACCCAAGAGACCCATTAGAATGTGGAACGTGGAGTATCCTGTACGAAAATCGCAAAGGAAATAATTAATAGAATTGATACCGGAGAAACTGACGGAAGCAAAGCACAGAGGGATGGACACAGGTTTCTTCAGGAAGGAAGAGATTCTTTATTGGATCACCGATCGGGACTCAGAGGGACTAATGTCACCAAAAATACAGCAAGTTCTGAGCCCTGAACAATAGTGCAGGCTCCCTATATAGGCACATAACTCCTCCCATATTAAGCTCCACCCGCACATTCTCTTGACCAATCATTACAAATAAGAATTAACTTCCTGCTTGACCGCATGGCTTGTCCAGCACAATGGAGGAGGGGAATACTACATCCTGTATTCTTGCACATGCTCCGTACACTACTGATCGTATCTTGCCTCGTGCAACCAACTGATCGATACGTCAGCATATGCACGTACACATGCCACGTGGTAATCTCGGCCTACTAAATTTATTTTTACCGAGATTCCACCACATTCCCCCCTTTGATGCCTCTTGATATTTTACAATTACTTGAGGCATCACTTAACCTTGGTTTGCATACACCACAAGTTACCTTTGAACCAGACCAGACTTATCCTATGATGTGAATCTTCAACACTCGTCTTCCTGCATTGGTTCTCCCTGATCTAGAGCCTTATATTTATAAATTGCCATTATCTGTGCAGCAGCCTTCCTCTCTGCTATATTTTCTATCAGGCTTTGCACAGACCTAACTACTAAGGGTATAAGACACGGCAGGAGTAGACACAACATTAAAATCAGTAGGACTCCACCTACCACTGCCTTAAGCCCTCCAAACCACTCATACCAGCTACCAAACCAACTACTTGGATTGTACCCTTTCCATACCTGAGTAGGCACATGCGCTAGTTTAACCATATGGCTAGTAAGCTCAGCTATTGCTTGCCCTTCGTCATCTATTTGAAGACAGCAATTGCTCAGGTTAAACTTCCCACATACACCTCCCTCTACTGCCAAAAGATAATCCAAGGCTAATCTATTTTGGTAAACTGCTGTCCTCATCCTGGTATTATGCTTCGCTAGAAGATTGAGCGCTTGTGATGTCTCGTTAGTAATGATCTCAACCACCGCCTGTAACCTTATAATGCGGTTGAGCATATAAATAGGGGTTCTATAACCAAAGGTACCATCCTCTGCCCACGTGGCTGGCCCATAATAATCTATAATACGCTGGGGAGGCCATTCATTATCTTCCCAGGCACCTATCTCTATGGGTCCCCTTTTCTTCCTATGATTCACATCATACACTTTAACACCTAAAGTCTCACCTGTTTCAATAGGCAACAAGAAGAAGGATGGTTTTAACATACCCAACACACATGCCCCTTCCCAGTCCTGTGGTAACTCCGAATAGGCCTTCTTACCACAGATCCAGTACAAATTCGCTGGGGCTCTCCAGTTAGATGTGATGGATAGATCAAACCATACGTCCTTTAAATTGGCATATCTTGCAAACGGGTTAGATGGTTCTGAGACATTTGAAGCCGACCACCAAGTTGTATTCTTTGTATCATCATCATAAGCTTTTGCCCTAGACAAGTTAATTCTCCTACAGAAGTATTATACATCATTCCTTTCCTCGCTATGCAAACATAACCTATGATGGAGGTCTTCAATCTCCACTCAGATTTACCTCTAACACTCATATGATAGTCGGCTTGTGTAGATATTAATTGGTCAACTGCCTCAGAACCGGACATTACCTCCTTTGCTTCCCAAGGCCATTGGTCTCCCATGTTAGTACCTCCACACACATAGCAGTTGGTAACATTAAGACTACCGGCAATACTCTCGGCTAAATCAATGAACAAGTTTTTAGCATTATGGGGGATCTTATTATCTATGCTCATCTCTTCATAAAAGGAATGGTATACTTGATGAGTTTGGGAGGTTACCGTATCAGTCTCTATCCCTATAAACAATATTGTCCCAGGGTCTAAACCCGTCCCATATATTTGAAACCCAAATAAATTACCATATTTATCTAAGAACTTGTCAGGGTTATTTATAAGTATATGGATTGGATTGCATTCCATAGACTTACAATATGGATTAGTAGGCAACTTAGTCACAATCATGTCCTTGTCTGCTGTCTGTCCCCAAGTCGCCCACCCCACACAAGACCAATATGGGCAGAAGTTATAATCTCTATTTGGGCATCTTGGACTTACATATTTATTTTTACTACTGGGACAAATATATTTATCGTTAGACCCATACGTCCTCTCCCATCTAAGATCCCCACATACATTCCACGGCTTTCTACCACTTGATATTGCTTTACACGCATCAAATAGCAGAGCACCTGAAGAATATACGGATTTTAATACCGTCTTATTAATTAGGGTCCCCTGAGAATCTCCATTTCTGAGAGTCAACCAAATTGTACGGGGTTGATACTCAGGACTGAAGCACTTAGGTTCTCCTACTCCTAAATGACACACACTATATTCTATATTTAAGTATCTACATCTTGATACATCTCCTTTACACTCATATTGCGAATGCCAAATTAGGGTCTGGGATATATGGTTACCTGTTCTTGTAGTCTTAATGCATACCTCACAGCTAGGAGTGTTGGTACCTCTACCTTCCTGAATATAAAAATACACATAAATAAACATTATTAAAAATACATCTTTCGTCGTCATCCTCAGTCTTCGTCCGTGCGAAGGCACCTCAGCTTCCAGGATGTAAGGGCTGCAGGGAATGGAGTTCTGCTCGTCTTCACAGGGGTCCCCTCAAGACTTTCCCTGACTTATACACTCGTTGGTGAGTGGACAGGCTTTATTATGGCCTTCTCACTCACTTACCAAGTCTCTGAAACAATAAAATTTGTAATCTACAAGGTTCCTCGTCACTCCGACTGAGTCGTGCGTTTTAACCGGATCTTGCAGGGATTCTCTGGATTTGCTGTAACTTGCCAGGAATCGGCTGCTGCTGGTTTAACCCTGGAGTGATGTATCCACGGAGCCACTTCGGCTACTTTTATCGCTGTAGGGGTAGACAGAAGAACAACATAAGGACCTCTCCACTTGGGCCCTAACGGCACATTATTCCACTCTTTAATCCACACTTGGTCGCCTGGGTGGTAACTATGAATTGGGGGATAAATATTCACAGGTAATCTATCTTGTACCCATTTCTGTACCTCCTCCATAGTCTTACCCAACTCTACAACCTGCTGCCGGGTAATTCCTTCTCCCAACTGACTCAAATCCCCCCTTAAGTTACCAAGCACGGGAGGTGGTCGCCCGTACATGATTTCAAAAGGAGAGAGGCCCATCCTTCTGGTAGGTGTACTACGGATTCGCAATAGAGCTATGGGCAAGAGAACGTTCCACTTAAGTTGGGTTTCCTGACACATTTTAGCCAACTGATTCTTAATAGTTCTATTCATTCTCTCTACCTTACCAGAACTCTGGGGTCTATATGCCGTATGAAGCCTCCACTTTATACCAAGCATATGAGTCAATTGTTGTAGGCACTGATGAACAAAAGCTGGACCATTGTCCGATCCTATAGAGCAGGGTAGTCCATATCGGGGTATTATTTCTCGTAGCAGGAATCTCACGACTTCTCCTGCTTTCTCTGTACGAGTAGGACATGCTTCTACCCAGCCTGAATAGGTGCACACCACTACCAGCAGGTAGCGATGTCCACCCGATTTAGGCATCACTGTATAGTCAATTTGTAAATCGGACATGGGAAGTCCCCCCATAAACTGGACTCCTGGTGGCTTTACTGGTCCTTGTCTTGCATTATTTTTAGCACACGTTACACATCTACGTACAATGGCCTGAGTCAAGTTGGACAATCTTGGTATGTAGAAATGTTTTCTGAGAGATTCTTCTGTACTGTCTCTCCCAGAATGTGTCCCGTTATGATAGTTTTGGACAATTTCTACCGCTAGTGATGCTGGAATAACTATTCTTCCATCTTCTAACTGATACCATTTGTTCTCCAAATACTTTCCAGGTTCAGTCCTTAACCACTCCTCTTCTTGAGCTGTATAAATTGGAGTCCATTGAGACAGTGGAGTTGGTATAAGAGCAGCTATATGCCCCACATATTCCTGTCTTCCTGATTCAGCAGCACGCTTAGCTGCACTATCTGCCATCCGATTCCCTTTGGTTACATCACCATCTCCTCTCAGATGCGCCCGACAATGTATAATACCGACTTCTTTCGGCTCCCACACTGCTTCCAATAGTTGTAGGATCTCAGCTGCGTATTTGATTTCTTTGCCTTCTGAATTCAATAGTCCTCTTTCTTTATACAAAGCTCCGTGGGCATGAGTGGTTAAAAACGCATACTTGGAGTCCGTGTAGATGTTCACTCTTAAACCTTCAGCCAATTGTAACGCTCGTGTCAGTGCTATCAATTCTGCCTTTTGTGCTGATGTTCCTTTTGCCAGTGGCCGAGCTTCTATCACCTTGTCTATCGTTGTTACTGCATATCCTGCATAGCGGATCCCTTCTTTTACATAACTACTGCCGTCGGTGTAATATTGAACATCAGGGTTCTGGATGGGAAAATCACGAAGATCTGGTCTACTTGAAAATACTTCATCCATTACTTCCAAACAATCATGTTGACTTTCAGTAGGTTGTGGCAAAAGGGTAGCTGGATTTAAGGTATTTACAGTCTCTAAATGCACTCTTGGGTTTTCACACAACATTGCTTGATACTTGGTCATACGGCTGTTACTAAACCAATGATTTCCTTTGTAATCCAACAACGTCTGTACTGCATGTGGAACTCGTACATAAAGTTCTTGACCCAGAGTGAGTTTATCGGCTTCAGCTACTAGCAGGGCGGCTGCAGCTACAGCTCTTAGACAAGGTGGAAGTCCGCTGGCCACTGCATCCAGTTGCTTAGACATGTAGGCAACAGGTCTTTGCCATGATCCCAAGTACTGTGTCAATACTCCCACAGCCATTCTTCTTTGCTCATGTACATACAGGTAGAATGGCCGTGTGTGGTCAGGTAGACCTAATGCTGGGGCACTCATCAAAGCCCTCTTCACATCTTCGAATGCCGTTTGCTGTTCTTGAGTCCATAAGAAGGGGTCGTGCTCTGTACCTTTGATAGCTGCATACAGAGGTTTTGCCAGTATCGCGTAGCTGGGAATCCATATCCTACAGAAGCCTGCTGCCCCCAAGAATTCTCGCACTTGTCTTCTATTCCTGGGTATCGGTATTTGGCACACAGCTTCTTTTCTCTCTGGCCCCATAATTCTTTGACCTTCAGAGATATGGAATCCCAGATATTTGACAGTTGGCAAACACAACTGAGCCTTCCTTCTTGACACCTTGTATCCTGCCTTCCAGAGAATGTGTAGTAGATCGTGCGTTGCTTGCTGACATACTTCCTTTGTAACTGCTGCTATCAACAAGTCATCTACATATTGTAATAATACACACTCTCCTGGGATAGACTCGAAATCTAGTAGATCTTGACTTAGAGCTGAACCAAATAGGGTAGGTGAATTTTTAAACCCCTGGGGCAATCTTGTCCAGGTCATTTGGCGTTTCGAGCCCGTTACAGCATTTTCCCATTGGAAAGCGAAGATACATTGGCTTTCTGCGGCAATTCGGAGGCAAAAGAAGGCATCTTTGAGATCTAAGACTGTAAAGTAAGTAGCCCCGCCCGGAATTAAAGCAAGCAGGTTATATGGATTGGGCACGACTGGATGTATACTAACAACCGCATCATTGACTGCTCTCAAGTCCTGCACAGGTCGATACTCATCTGTACCGGGCTTTTGAACAGGCAGCAATGGGGTGTTCCAGGGGGAAGTACAGAATTTTAGGATACCATACCGTATGAACTTATCCAGATAAGATTGGATGTTCTTCTTAGCCTTCTGCGGAATATGATATTGTCTCAGGCTTACTGGATAAACCCCAAGTTTTAGTTCGATTTTAATAGGTGGAATATTGCGGGCCAGTCCTGGTGGGTTGTTCTCTGCCCAAACTCCTGGTATGTTAAATAAGGATTCATCACTCCTCGGGTTTTGGCTAGTCAACACTGTATAAAGTCGCCACTCTTCTTCCTTTGGTACGGACAATGTCATAATACCTGAGGGTCCATTAAACTTTAAGGATGTTGTTCCATTTGGTAGGAACGTAATCTGCGCTTGTAATTTGGATAGCATATCACGTCCCAGCAATTGGACTGGACACTCAGGCATATAAAGGAATTGATGTTTTACTACGTGGCCTCCCAATGTACAGAGTCGACTTTTAAGAACCGGTTTTTCAGCACTTCTTCCAGTTGCTCCTATTACAGTAATAGTTCTTCCAGATGGAGGAGCAACTTGATTAGTCACCACCGAATGTTCAGCACCAGTGTCGATCATAAACGCACTCCTTTTTCCCCCTATTGATACATCGACCATAGGCTCCGCTCGACCAAGGGGGATGGAGCCCGGTCGGTATCAATAGTCCTCCATGACCGTGTCAGCCAATCCCACAAAGTCCCTACCTTCTCTATCGCGGGACCTTTGCGCTGCTGGATAGTACCTATCTTCCCTTACACTTCCTCTGTTCCCATTACTCCCTCTATTACCATTACTCCCTCCGGGGCCTCCTCTACCTCTCGCTCTGCCTCTAAAGTTTCCGTAACCTGCCCTGGGTAAGTCTCTCTCATACTGCTCTCTTTGCGGACACTCGTTCCTCCAATGCCCTTCTTCCTTACAGTACGCGCACTGATTCCTACTCAAAGGCTCCCTATTCCATCTACCATCGCCTCTATCTGGGCCCCGTCTATCTACGCCTGCGATCGCTACCGCTAGCATATCTGCCTTTCTACGCATCTTGCGCTCTTCCTCTTTCTTACTTTCTGTTTCCCTATTCATATATACTTTGTTCGCTACCTCCATTAGTTGGGTGATAGACATACCTGCAAACCCTTCTAATTTCTGTAGCTTGCGCTTAATATCTCCGTAAGCTTGGCTGACAAAGGCGGAGTTTACCATTCGGGAATTATCAGCGTCTTCCGGATTAAAGGGGGTATACAAGCGGTATGCCTCCAATAATCGGTCATAAAAGACACTGGGCGCTTCATCACTTTTCTGAATCACCTCAACTGTCTTCGACATGTTAATAGCTTTCTTCCCTCCGGCTTTCATGCCAGCAATTATAGCATCTCTATAGGCTTTAAGTTGAGCCATATCTGCGCCATTTACATTCCAGTCAGGATCGGTGTTAGGGTAATGTGTTGCGGCCCATGCTGCCGGATTGGCTTGATTTAAAGCACGGGCTCTCTCCTCTAGCGCCTTAATGGCCGCTTGGTTAATCCTTGTCCTTTCCTCATTATTGAACAATGTCATTAATAACTGCTGGCAATCAGCCCATGTCGGGTTATGTGTCTGAACTATCGAGGTGAACAGATCGGTCATAGCTTGTGGTTTCTCAGTGTACGAGGAATTGTGGGTCTTCCAATTCAAGAGATCGGTAGTCGTGAACGGGACATATACGAAGACTGGGTCAGCATGTGCCATTTGACCTGCGGCATCGATATAGGCTGACCCAGGATTCAGACGAAGAGGCATCTGATAATGTTTTAATTGTTGGGTACCGGTCAGTTGTCGGGTTAGTATGGGGCTACGTGGAGGGGCGTCAGTTAAAGGTTCCGGTCGAGAGGTAATAGGGCATGAGGATGTGGGAACTTGATTTTGGGAAAAGTTAGTGAATAGTATACTCCGAGCCGAGCTAGAAGAAGCTTGACCGGAAGTTTGAAGTGGCGCCAAATCAGGATATTCAAATCTAATGGGGGTTGGTCCTGGTTCCGGAAGGGGAGTTTTAATACGAGGGGGGGTGGATTCTGTACTGGAGGAGGAAGCGGAAGTGGATGGGGGCAATAGGGGAAGGGGTGCAGAGCTTCCTGCATTCGCGTCACTTCCTCTTAAAGGAAAGTAAGGAGGCGGCAAAGGGATCTCGGACTCAGGGGGCGTGTCCAAAATGGGCCTAACACCAGTCCTAGTGGACAAACAAGTCCTGGCCACCATGAGGCGACATTGCTCCTCGTGGCATATCCGGATCCATTTTGGCGAGTCGTTTACGGCCTGCCCCCAACAATCAATGTATGGAAACTGTCCGTAAAGTTCAGGCCTACCTGACACAGCCACGTGTACACGCTGTACCAGGGTTGGATCCAAACTGCCACGCGGCGGCCATGCCGCAACCAAAATAGGCCACTCCCTAGTGCACAAAGTGACCAAACGTACAGGAGACATTTTAACCCCAAAATCACATGTTTTGAATCCCTTTTTAAAATTCTTTACCATACAACCTAAGGGATCCGAAATCGTTGACTCTGACGCGCCCATACTTATCAATGGAACGTCGTTGACAACGAATACTATGCACGCGTTCTTATTCAACAGTCACACCCGTTTCCTCTGGCAACAGCACCACGTGGTACAGTTACCGAGTGAAACGTACACAATAACACAATAATCACTCAGGGAATTCCCGTACACACACAGCTGTTACACCAGTCACTAAATAATCAATATTATGCCCTTTGGCGAAACTATACAGTCACCCACGCTATAATTCTCTATATATGAATTACCCGTCTATAACACACCCCAGTAACATCGTCTTTTACTAGTATCGGTTACAGTACGGTTAGCATAGGTCAAAGCACAATTTAAGGTCACAATACAATTATTAGTGGTTACGGTGTTAAACATGCAATAGACGACAATGATTAGTACTTATATACAGTGTCAGTAAATATACAGGGTTATGGTACCGTGCACTATGATACAGCAACACACTATTAACACTCTCGCTAGACGGCTGAGCTCGCGCTATCTAACAAGATATACACTTTACTAACAATCTTTAACACATTTACAATCCCAACTAAACTATTGGCCAGTACCTTGAATGGACTACCTAAAACTATATACACCCGTTTTGGTTAGCCACACTGCCCAAACACCACATATAGCGAACTAGAGGGCGAAATTTACAAAATTGCCCTTCTAGTCTATTTACTCTATCAAAAGTCTAGTGGGTTCCAAATTTACACGCCTTCCCACTTAGCCAAGATAGGTTGAGAGCTAGCGAACCGAATTTACACAGGCGCCGCTTAGTCTCCCGGTCCCTCCGACCTAGCGAACGTAATATACACCCTAGAACGCTAGTCTAGACAAGACACCGGTGTCCGGCTAGGGCTATTTACACAGGACCCCGCCTGACTAACCAGATCAAACGGTCTTACTAAAGAGCGTTCGATCGAGCGGTGCGCCTTCGCTCCTTCCCTCCGACAGAGGGGGCAGATTCCATACACAGATTTAAACCCCTTTTGGGCCTACCGCACAATCGGTATACCCCTAGTGGGTCTGCCGTCTAAAACAGCAGTTGTCTTACCTCCTCGTTCCTGAACCTGAGTTCACACTCATCGACGGGGACACCCCAGCACTTCTTACGTAGAGGCCGATGATCTCCTGGACAACAGACCAGTGGCGCCGAGACGAAGGGAGGTCCACGCAGAAGTTCAGGGGTGCAGCCGTAGAGAACGTGGGCAAAGATAGACCGTCTCACGCCTCTGCCTCTCAGCTACCGTTGAACGATGAGCTTCCCGGCCAATGCACCAAATGATACCGGAGAAACTGACGGAAGCAAAGCACAGAGGGATGGACACAGGTTTCTTCAGGAAGGAAGAGATTCTTTATTGGATCACCGATCGGGACTCAGAGGGACTAATGTCACCAAAAATACAGCAAGTTCTGAGCCCTGAACAATAGTGCAGGCTCCCTATATAGGCACATAACTCCTCCCATATTAAGCTCCACCCGCACATTCTCTTGACCAATCATTACAAATAAGAATTAACTTCCTGCTTGACCGCATGGCTTGTCCAGCACAATGGAGGAGGGGAATACTACATCCTGTATTCTTGCACATGCTCCGTACACTACTGATCGTATCTTGCCTCGTGCAACCAACTGATCGATACGTCAGCATATGCACGTACACATGCCACGTGGTAATCTCGGCCTACTAAATTTATTTTTACCGAGATTCCACCACAGAATGCTCCACCGGGTGGCCACCATTTCGTGCATGCGAACGCACGTGGTTGGGACAACCTTACCGTATATACTCGAGTATAAGGCAAGTTTTTCGGCACATCCCCACCAGGGAATAATATAGCCCCCCTCCTTGGCCATGTATCAAGCAGGGAGGGGGGACAAAAAAATAAAAATTTTTTTTAAATATTATAATAAAACAAAACAAAAATGTAATAATATTAAAAAAATTAAAATAAAATTTAATAGTAAAATAATAAAAAAATAAATAATAAAAATGCCCTCCACCCACCAAGGTTATACACTCTGCATCACATACACAAACACACTCTGCATCACATACACACACACACTCTGCATCACATACACACACTGCATTCATACACACACACTGCATAATATATACACACACACACTCTGCATTAAATACACACACACACTGCATTCATTGTATATACACACTGCATTCATTATATACACACACTACACAAACAGACACACACACTGCATTCATTATATACACACACACTGTAAATAAATATTTAATTAATATAATTTTTGGGGGTTCTAATTTTATTTAGACATTTACCAGTAGCTGCTGTATTTCCCACCCTAGGCTTATTTTGTATATATAGTGTATTAATATTGTTTTTGTATTTTGTTGTACTCTAATGTAACAATGCAATGATTTGTGTACCCAGGACATACTTGAAAACGAGAGAAATCTCAATGTATCTTTCCTGGTAAAATATTTTATAAATAAATAATACTCGAGTCAATACGTTTTCCCAGTTTTTGGGGGTAAAATTAGGTGCCTCGACTTATATTCGGGTCGACTTATACTCGAGTATATACGGTATATGGTTTTCGTACAAAACCCCAGGAACAGAGACTGGCTCTTGCCACAATTTCCCTAGAACTATTTTGGGCTTCAACCTTGTGGCAGACCGGTCAGAACTTCCCTGCGATGGCGATCCAAAACTACCAAACGGATCTGGGTGATTTTTGGATATAATGTTCGCCCAGATCCAGGATAGCCGGGGTTGTGACTTTTGTGGGGTTTCCATGTATTTTGGGGTGGTTAAGAAATTTATGATTTTTCTGTCTCTGAGAGATAACTGAATTAGTCATGTGTATTCTGATAATTATCTCTCAGGTACAGAGGATCATGGGAGGGATTTCCCTGTTTTTCTGTATTAAAAAACCCTGTGTTGGGGCTTTTGCATAAAAACCCATGTGTGGCTCCAAATAAAGCAGTCTTCCCCCAGTATTAAACTTTGGCTCATGTATGGGGGTTATGGAACAGCCGTGATACTTTTACCTTTGCGATTATTCATGTTTGTGTATTTGGGAAAAGGGCATCCGTGGCGGTGATATTCTGGCAGACCGCCACATATGCTTTCATAAAAAATACAAGAGACATTCACAATAAATATAAAAGTCCTTTTATGTTGTGCGTGTCTCAAACTACGGTTTCAACTTTGACTTTTGGTACTGTACAGTTGAAACTCAGCAAATCTAAATGAGTGTTTTGACCTCATCCGCATTTAAGAATGCTGGTGGAATGAGGAATGAGGTACAGCGGATTTCTTGAAGCAGAGTGACTCTGACTATGTAAAAAGGTAATAACAGTATAGGAGGGTCTTCCTAAGAATGAAAAAGGGTAATAGCTTTTCCCACGATTAATTTTTTTTAATCGAAATCTACCAACAACTCCAAAACAGCATAATTTCATAAACTCTATGTGACAGCAATGCGTTATAAACATGGGTTTGCTTGTAGCTTCTTCATTATTAAACTCATTTTTTTTTTTTATATACAGTTATAAGTAATAGAATTTTTAAAAGAGAAATATTAAATAAAGAATTATGAAATTGTCCGGTTATGAATTTTACTGCTGCAAAATAGGAAAATTAAGGTGGGGGAGGGCTGGGGGGAGGGGAACTAAGCCGCCATTGCAAAAATTTTATATTTATTTTGATTGGTTAATTTGCTTCACTCAGCCAAATTGAATGCAGCTGAAATTGAAATTGTGGTTACTGATCACAAAAACTACAGATCGGACAAATCTAACAGCTCTGGCTGCATGGGAGATGCAGTTACGTCTGCTGGCAGTGTGTATTGTGCACCGATCACAGACTTTTTTTTGTGCACATAATTGATATTAGGCAGCTCAGAACAGAGTTCAACCTGTAATATTGCACATCCAGACTCCTACAACCATGACCACTTCAAAAAGCAGAAGTGGTTGTGGTGGTTGGATTAGTCCTTTAAGATAAAATATAGGTATGTTTTATGACTTTAAGCAAGTCTTGCTCACTTTGAAGTGGAACTGTCACTTTCCAGAATTTTTTATATTATGTTTATTTATCCCTATATTTATTAAATATATATTTCTGAGGTGTTATAAATAAATCTAAATCTAAAATCAGCACCTCTTTATTCTGCAAATGGGTGCCTCCATCTTAGATCCAGTGGCTGGTGAAGTTTTAAAATGGTGGGGCTCCAGACTCCTCCCCCAGCATTTTACTCCTCCCTATACAGTACAGAGATCCTCATACAATACAGAGAGCTAAGCATAATACAGAGATACTCATACAATACAGAGAGCTAAGCATAATACAGAGATTCTCATCCAATACAGAGAGCTGAGCATAATACAGAGATACTCATACAATACAGAGAGCTAAGCATAATACAGAGATTCTCATCCAATACAGAGAGCTAAGCATAATACAGAGATCCTCATCCAATACAGAGAGCTAAGCATAATACAGAGATACTCATACAATACAGAGAGCTAAGCATAATACAGAGATTCTCATCCAATACAGAGAGCTGAGCATAATACAGAGAGAGAGCTAAGCATAATACAGAGATACTCATCCAATACAGAGAGCTAAGCATAATACAGAGATACTCATACAATACAGAGAGCTAAGCATAATACAGAGATTCTCATCCAATACAGAGAGCTGAGCATAATACAGAGATACTCATCCAATACAGAGAGCTAAGCATAATACAGAGATACTCATCCAATACAGAGAGCTAAGCATAATACAGAGATACTCATCCAATACAGAGAGCTAAGCATAATACAGAGATACTCATCCAATACAGAGAGCTAAGCATAATACAGAGATCCTCATCCAATACAGAGAGCTAAGCATAATACAGAGATACTCATCCAATACAGAGAGCTAAGCATAATACAGAGATACTCATCCAATACAGAGAGCTAAGCATAATACAGAGATACTCATCCAATACAGAGAGCTAAGCATAATACAGAGATACTCATCCAATACAGAGAGCTAAGCATAATACAGAGATCTCATCCAATACAGAGAGCTAAGCATAATACAGAGATCTCATCCAATACAGAGAGCTAAGCATAATACAGAGATCCTCATCCAATACAGAGAGCTAAGCATAATACAGAGATACTCATCCAATACAGAGAGCTAAGCATAATACAGAGATACTCATCCAATACAGAGAGCTAAGCATAATACAGAGATACTCATCCAATACAGAGAGCTAAGCATAATACAGAGATACTCATCCAATACAGAGAGCTAAGCATAATACAGAGATCCTCATCCAATACAGAGAGCTAAGCATAATACAGAGATCCTCATCCAATACAGAGAGCTAAGCATAATACAGAGATCCTCATCCAATACAGAGAGCTAAGCATAATACAGAGATCCTCATCCAATACAGAGAGCTAAGCATAATACAGAGATACTCATCCAATACAGAGAGCTAAGCATAATACAGAGATCCTCATACAATACAGAGAGCTAAGCATAATACAGAGATACTCATCCAATACAGAGAGCTAAGCATAATACAGAGATCCTCATACAATACAGAGAGCTAAGCATAATACAGAGATTCTCATCCAATACAGAGAGCTAAGCATAATACAGAGATACTCATACAATACAGAGAGCTAAGCACAATACAGAGATTCTCATCCAATACAGAGAGCTAAGCATAATACAGAGATCCTCATACAATACAGAGAGCTAAGCATAATACAGAGATACTCATCCAATACAGAGAGCTAAGCATAATACGGAGATACTCATACAATACAGAGAGCTAAGCACAATACGGAGATTCTCATCCAATACAGAGAGCTTTGCACAATACGGAGATTCTCATACAATACAGAGAGCTAAGCATAATACAGAGATCCTCATCCAATACAGAGAGCTAAGCATAATACAGAGATCCTTATACAATACAGAGAGCTAAGCATAATACATAGATAATCATACAATTAAACAAGCTGGGCACAACATAAAGATCTACAATCTATAGATAATCTAAAGATTTATAAATACATAAAGCTGCGTACACAATACAGAGATAACCATACCACAAACAGAGCTGAGAAAAAAAAAGAGATTTCATACACAGAGCTGGGCGCAACACAAAGATACCTACACAATACACAGAGCTTGGTAAACTACACACAAACCCATACAACTAGCAGAGCTGAGTAAAATACAGATAAATAACACAGAACTGGGAACAATAATGAGATACTCATAACTACTCCACACAGCCAGGATCATTGTGATGGATTACACAGAGCTGCAATACAGAGATATACTGTACACACTACATGTCTCTGTAAAATGATCTCTCTCTCTCTCTCTCTCTCTTAGTCTATCTTCCTAGCCCTCTCTTAGCGCTCCCTCTCACAATCTCATCTTCAGTAGTTCTCCTGCTATGATAACTTTAGCTTACTATTAAAGCGGCACTGTCATGGCCAAATCCCGTTTTTTTTTAACCCCTCTCCCGCCTCCACTATCTTTAATTGACCCCCTAGTCGCCCCCAAATGCCCCTAAGCCCCCCACATTACCTATTTTTTAATCTTTATTTTCTGTCCCGATCTATATTCAGGACGCCGCCATCTTTGTGTGGGTAGAGGAAGTCCCTGTGGGACACGTCATCTGCCCACACTAGATAGCACTGAGATTCCCGCACATGCCCAGTGAAACACTTGGACAAGCGAACAGAAATTTCATCTATTCATTCATTCATCAGAAAGACAAATGAAGGAATAGAAATGTCAGACGAACAAACAAACACTGTGTATCTGTGTTCGTTTGTTCGTTCAGTTTATTACAAGGAGGGAGCTACCGGCACGCAGCTCCCTCCTTGTAATATGTAAAGATAGAAGCGTCAGGGAGCAGTGCTCCCCGCTACTTCACTTAAAATCTCCCCAATGCCCCTACTCACTATACCGCGAGTAGGGGCATGTCCACTAAACAGTGAGCAGAAAGTTTAAAAAAAGAAAACTACTATCTGGCCCCCACCCCTGCGCGGTGGGTGGGGGCCCTAAAAACAATAAGGGGGGACCTACTGTCCTCCCCCCCGGCACCCACCCCTGAGCAGTGGGTGGGGGCCCTAAAATACAATAATGGGGGGTAAACACATGGTAAATACCGATCGCAGTGACAGCCTGTCACTGCGATCGGAAGCTGCAGACTGCGGTCCCAAGGTACAGGGGTGCTGCCTGGGGGGCCAGGCATGCCCCCCGACCACGATCTGCAGCGGCCATGTACCGCTGGCCAAGTGGGATGCAAGACCGCGGTGCGGCATTTAGAGCCGCCCAAATAGGGACGGCATAGAATGCCCTGCGGTCTTAACATTTAGTGGGCTCCCGCATTAAGTGGTTTTTAAAGCCGTTGCGTCGGCATAGAACGCCGTAACGACTTTGAGCCCTGGAGCGCCCGGTATACTTACCTTACCAGCGTTCTGCTTCGGGAGGACTGTCTCACAGCCCAGGCAGCCCTCCCACGTCAAATGAGGCCCCCATGGATCTGCCAGCAGGGGGACTGTCTGAAATGTCAGACAGTCCCCCTGCTGGTGGGTAGTGTAAAAAAAAAATAATTAAACGTGTAAAATAAAATAAATATATATATATATATATATATATATATATATATAATATATGTATATATACACGTATAATTACAATAATAAATAAATACAATAATAAAATAAATAAATAAAATATTGAAACTAAATGTAATATAAATTATATATTCATATGTAATTTCATTTTAACTGTATTTTGTTATTAATATATATATATTGGTAACAAAATACACTTAGAATGACATTCTATATATATATATATCTATATATAAAATGCAAATAACCGCAAATATATATATATATAGATAAATACATATAATTACATAAAAGATTACATTAGTATACACATAGAATTTAAATACCTATAAATGCATATATCTTAAAATTCTATATGTATAGTTAAGTAATCTTTTAACATAATTATGTGATTTGATTAATTAAAATGTGATTGACATGCCTGACAACACAGGGAGAAAGTGCAGAGAATTTAATTCGCAAGCACTATATTTGACCCTGTAACTCTCCAAGACACCATAAAACCTGTACATAGGGGGTACTGTTTTACTCGGGAGACTTCGCTGAACTCAAATATTAGTGTTTCAAACTGGTAAATTGTATTACAAAGATGATATTTTAAGTAAAAGTGAAGTTTTTTGCATTTTTTACAAACGAACGGCACTTTTATGGACTATATTATTGTTGTAATATGTTTTACTGTTTTAAAACACTAATATTTGTGTTTAGTGAAGTCTCCCGAGAATAACAGTACCCCTCATGTACAGGTTTTATGGTGTTTTGGAAAGTTAGAGAGTCACATATAAGGCTTGCAGTTCATTTTTTTTACATTGAAATTTGCCAGATTGGTTATGTTGCCTTTGAGAGCGTATGGTAGCCCAGGAATGAGAATTACCCCCATGATGGCATACCATTTGCAAAAGTAGACAACCCAAGGTATTGCAAATAGGGTATGTCCAGTCATTTTTAGTAGCCACTTAGTCACAAACACTGGCCAAATATTAGTTTTTTGCTTTTTTCACACAAAACAAATATGAACGCTAACTTTGGCCAGTGTTTG